TGATACTTTGCTAAGTCATCAGCTGCAACATTCTTTTGGAAAGCCTTGTGATCAGCTATAAAGATGTAATATAATCACTTGGTTAAGAAGAGGCATTCCCTTCTTTTCCCTGACACAAGAGGGAATGCCTCTTCTAAGATGGTGCCTGGTCTGACGAACACCCACACCATCCAAATCGCAACCCACCCAGGGAGCCACGTGGCTAATACAGTGGGCTATAAATCCAACACATAAATAATTCTAAAATTTGTTTTTGTCATCAGAATTATTGCATACTTCGTATGCATACACATGGAGGTTTAGAACTGATACAAACCCGTCCCAGGAAGAGCAATCCGCACACAAAAACATACAAAGAAAGTGAGTCAGAAGGGGTCTCCTGGGCCATCTAGTCTGACCCCCGCCTCCAGCTGGCTCCACTCGTGGCGTGCCCACCATGTGCATGCCCAGCCTATCCTTGAACACCCTCACCAATGGGGCTTCAGCCGCCTCCCATGGAAGCCCATTCCATGCCCCTGGGGTCCTGTCAGGAAGTGCTTCCTGGCATCCAAATTGAACCTTGGTTCCCTGAGCTTGGCTCTGTTGGAACGCAGCCTGCCCTCCTCTGCAGGGGAGAACAGGTCTCTCCCCACCTCATGTTTTCAGTTGAGTAAGCCCCACTCTCTAGAAGTGCGTTCAGGATTTCAACCCACAATTACTTTAAATGTTTATTGATTGATTTTTATTTATATCCTGCCTTTTTCCTACAAAGGGCTCAAGGCAGCTTACATCATCTCTCCTCCTCCATCTTATCCCCACAACAAGAACCCTGTGAGGTGGGTTGGACTGAGAGTCTGTGACTGGCCCAAAGTCCCCCAGTTGGCTCCATGGCTGAGCGGGGACTAGAACCCAGATCGCCTGAGTCCCAGTCCCATGCACTTAACCACTGCACCACACTGGCTCGCTCTTTAATTGGGTGATAGTCCAAGTAAATACAGGTAACTGAATTCGTTCACATTCCTACCTCGCCATCCTTGCTCTCGCCCCACTCATCAAATTGTAGTTAGCTTGCTCTTCACTGTTTAATTTTGCTTGCATTATTTCTGGAAACTGATTGGTGGGAGATTTGGGGGAGGAAAAGAAGTCCTTCTGTACACAGTGCAAAGTTACACTTTGGAACAGTCTTCCAAAGATGTGGTGATGGCTACCAACTGGATGGCTTCAAAGGGGGACTGGACCCATTCATGGAGGAGGAGGTTATCCATGGCCAGTGGGACATGATGCCTCTATGCCTCCGCATACCATTTGTTGGGGGACATGGGCAGGAGATGGGCTTCTGAGCATCCCATGGGCGACTGGTTGGCCACTCCGTGACCGGATGGAGCTTCAGTTTGTCTCAGGATAGCTCTCAGGTGCTGAGCGAAATGCTGTGTGTGACATGGTACAAGAACAGGTTACGGGGAAGAGGCCTTGGGTGAACCTCAGAGCACCTGCTTTGCAACAGGTCTCCAAGCTCCAGCATCTTCAACTAGGGCTGAAAGCACCTTGGCTGGAGAAGGATCTTGCCAATCCGGGCCCACAGTGCCGGGCTGAATGGACTGACTTGGTCTCCGGCAGCTACACCCTATTAATTAACACGCACAACAAGGTTGCAAAATCTTTTGGCCTCTTGGCAAAACACGAGGCTGCTTCTGAGGCACGGTCTGCTGACCCAGGGGTGCTATCAGGCCGAATTCCAAGACTCCACTCAGCAGAAGGAGTTAGCACACAAAGCTTCGCTTTGAAAGGAGCAAAGCAGTGTGCAGCACCACCTCCAAATGGGCAAGGGCTGTGCGTCGGGGGCGGGAGAGCAACCCGAGACCAGATCCTAAATTTAGCTCACTGTATTACTGCACTGAGCACTCTGTTTGGAGCTGCCCACAGTTTCCTCCTCTTCCTCCTCATATAAATGCTTCCCTTAAGCCTGTCAGTATTTACCTTTTGAAACTAAAACAAAAGCCGTTTCCCTCATTGCTATGAAAACACACATGTCACGAGCAACGCATCTTCCTCTTTATCAGCTCAGAGCTTGTACAGAAGGGCAAATCAACACCACGGAGAACAGCCAGCCATGTAATAAGCAGATACCAGCTGGTAACGTGTGTCTTTGCAGGCTGCCATTTCATATCAAATTAAGTGAATGCACAGGAGGGAAGCCCTCATAAAACTTCGCTTAAATATTTTCTTCGCTACTTGGCTGCACATCTCCCACAGAGTAAGAAAAAAGACAGTGATCCAAAGGGAGGTAGTTTGTCAGGCCAAGGTAAATCTTGCTTTCAGGCTTCCATCATCTACACGTGGGTAATGATTCTGCCCCCCTGAGAGCATGCAGGAAAAGAAAGCAAACCTGCTAGGAAAAGTTTCTGAGGAAATGGCTCCATCTCTTCTGGGAATAACATGGTTAACCAGCGTAAGTGCTGGGGCGAATTCCATTCTGAGTATTTTCATCAAGTAGGTATCCCAAGGGTCTTGACTTCTGCACCCAAATACCAACAAATTCTGGAAGGAAAATAAATTGGGCAAAGTGCCCGGACTTTTCTCTTTTGCCCTGGCTTCGTACGGTAGATGGCTTTGTTTGCAGATATTACATCAGAACTGGATCTGAGAGTGGCAAATGCAAAGCCTATTTAACTCATGGGTATGCCAGCCTTAGCTTCAGTTTCCCTATCTATACACTGAGAACAGTAATACCCTTAAGTAGGCACTGATTCTGCTGATTCCCAAGATACGAGCTGCATCTCTGACCTGTCAGCCTCAAAAGGTGATGCACCTGATCTCTTTCAAACCATTTGCAATGTTTGCCCCAAAGAACAGTGTCCAGAAACCCATTTTCCTCAGCAACTGTGTCACTAAGGACCTCAGAAAGGGATCCTTGTTACCTGTCTTGCTAGTATCTCTCTCTGAGCTGAGCTTATTGTATCGATAGACCAAAGTCACTGGGTGACTTTGTGCCAATTACTGTCCCTCAGGCTAGCCTACCTCACAGGGTTGTTTGGAGGATAAAACGGATAGGAGGACTAATATATGCCACCATAGTAATTTTGGAGGAAAGGCAAGTTCTAAATTTAACAAATAAAGCTTGTTCATGAAAGATGGTTTGAGCTGTTTATGGGGGACAGGCCTATGAATGACCAGGCTGGACATCTAAACAGATCCTCCCTATAGTTTGCATCTGCATCCCCGTTGCTAGAGGTAAACTATGGGAAGTTTGCTGCCCTCATGCCTTGTCTGGTCGCTTCTTTGAGAATGACTAGCTATAGCTGGAGAGCGCCTAGGACACGAAGAACCTCCAACCAGGACTGAGAACTTAAACCAGTGCACAGGACAGTATCCATAGGACTTGCTGACTCCCTAGCTCAGCCCAAACCTCTAGCCACACCTGAAGAGGCAGTGCGGTGTAGTGGTTAAGAGCGCAGGACTGGGACTCAAGCAATCTGGGTTCCAGTCCCTGCTCCGCCATGGAGCCATTTGGGGACTTTGGGCCAGCACAGACTCTCAGCCCAACCTACCTCATGGGGTAGCTGTTGTGGGGATAATCCTGAGAACAGGAGAAGAATGACGCAAGCTGCTCTGAGTTCTTTAAAAAAAGGGAAAATTGGATGTACCTCAAAGCCACGCTAAATGGCGCTTCTGAATGCAAGAATTTACCCTGTGATCGGACAACTTGGAGCGGGGGACGCTATAAGTCACCTGAGCTGTCTGGCTAAGACATTTGATATCACTGTAGATCAGCTGCCCTGTGATCACGCAGGTGCAAAGCCCCCTTCCTGGACAGGAACCATCTTATCCCTGTGGACTCAGAAAGGTGGCAGTGAGCTGCACAGCCCCCCAAGGCAGCCCCGCAGAGCGTCTTTTGGCCAACGGGAATCCGTAAGCTCACCCAGGCTGCCCCTCCTGTGCCGCCTTACCCTGGTTATCGTGAGCCATGGCTTCGAACATGGAGGCTCACTTGCCATTCGTCTCAAAGCTCAAGCTTCCATCCGATCTAACCATGATTCAGTCTTTGGCTGACAAATACCCATAACCATGGTTACATCAGCTCACAGAGGGAGGAAGACGGGAGACACCAAGCCTAAGGGAAAAGGAAGGGAGGAAGCAGGTGAGTCTTTGGAGTGCCCCCGGTCACAAAACCAATTACCTGCTGTGATACCTGAGCTTGGCCAAGGGATGGTTGCGAATGTCAGCCTAACCTACCTCTCAACATGGTTGTGAAGCTAAAACAGGCATTTGATTTCCTTGGAGGAAGGCAAAGGTGCCAACGCAACTGAAGAGATAAATTAAATGATTTTAGGGAAAGCTGCTGAGGATAAACCTGCCTGAACAAAAAGGTAATTAAAGCCGGTTAGCATATCAGAACGACACCATCTTGTTAATGTCGTGTGTGTAATACATTACAGCACGAGGGAGATAAACAGGATCTTGCCGGGAGTCTCTGGGTCACACCTCTCTGCTCTCTTCTGCTTTGCAATAGATTTGGGACCTCAAACTGGCTCAGCAAAACTCAAATCCATCTTCCTCCAGTCTGCCGCATTACCAGCATGTCAACCTTGCAAACGCTCTTCAATAAGAGCAGTAACAAGAATTCAATAAGATTCACTCGGCTGAAGTTCCAGATATTAATTTTTCTTCCCTCCGTTCACTTCTTCAGCTGTGTGCAGCGTCCTGAAAGCTTTTATTACTATGGGCAGCGGTGGGGGGTGGGGGGGGGGTGAGCAGGAGCTGAAAGGATGTGTTCCCAGCTGTAAGAACATGGAAACTGCTGAAAGAACAAGTGTCAAAACAGGTTGGCAGCAGCTCCTTGGGAGATGATAATCTCACATTTACACTGACTTTGGATTCCATCCTTCCTGAAGGCCTCTGGTGATTACATTTCAACTTGGCCAGCCCGTTATTTAGTTCGACCAGCTAGTGCCGACACCCCCGGCATGCCAATCCTCACCACTTACCTCTTGAACATTCCCTCTCCAACCTGGTCCATATTTGTCCCTCTTCCCGTAATTTCTGATGCACCTGATTCTTCCAAGAGGCTTAGGAAAAACAGACCAGATTGAGTGGGTAGATTAAGAGGCACGCAGAGAGCAGGTGCCTATTTATTACATTTTAAAAGCTCACCATATTTTTAAAATATGTTTTCTGCACAGAAAGCAGCTCCTATGCCGATTGAATCTTTCTCCCTGGCTCATTGTAGGGTGCTAGGCTTTTTGATTTAAGTTTCTGCAATAACAACTTCTCTTCGTGTTTGCTATAGTAAATTAATACTGCTGCAAAGAGCAAATGAGCTACTACCACAATATCTCAGCACATATTCAGACCAGGCGTGAACTTCCCAATCCTGGAAGTGAAATCAGGGATTGTAAATGATATACCCTCCAGCTTACTCCAAAATAAAGCGAAGGGAGAGTTGCCTTTTCATTTTATTTTTTCTGCAGCAAGCAAAGCAAATATGAAAGCAATGCCATATATTAGAGTTTGACAAACCCATTTTACTCTGGAGGAAGCTGCAGAAGGCTGGACCTAAATCCAAATGTTGTTTTCCTAGTTTAGATTTTCGTGGAATTTACAAATGAGCTTGATATGGTATTTTTGGAGCAGTGTGGGTTTTCACATTTTGTGCCCTCATTCTAGTTACATCAACAACCAGGAACATGGGAGGAAATTTGCTGGTAGGCACAGAAAGCTTCAAGCAGAAAGCAGCCAAGAGAGGAATCGAGAGCCATACTGAAGTCCCTGTTTACCAGGGAGAGTTCCTATTTTGTGCGATACACACATGCTTAAGTGCTCCACTTTCGCTCCTTCAGGGGATGCCTCTTAATTTTATTAGAGCGAACGGCTAGAGTTGCCATTCTGGCTTGCGCTCCCAGCGTCCCCAGAAGTGATGCTGCTTTGGGTTCCGCCATGGAAGAAATAGGACACATTTCTGTACTGACACTTAGACTCCCCAACAAGCAGGGCTCACCCGGTGAGATGCAAGTGATTAAAACAAACAAAACCCAACAAAACAATGAAACAGCACAATGAGATAAAGTAAAATGGATTGTCATCATTCTTGTAAGCCATCCTGGGATGATTTTTGTATAGGACGGGGTATGTTTTAAATAAAATAAAAATGAATAAAATCAGTGGGAAGGGGGTAAGAACCATGTGGCAAAGCAAAGCAAAACCTCCAGCACAAGAATAAATAAAATGGGCTGGCATCTAAGCGTCCAGGTCTTAAAATGTCTGAGAGAATGAAAATACTTATTTAATAAATAAAAACTCTCCTGCTGCGGTGAGTTTTTTGAACTCTTCACAACATGCTGCAGGGCCATTGTGTTTTTCTACTGTATCTTTAACCACGCACAGTTTTGGCACTTAAATCTGCAGAAGGCGCTATATGTGTGTGCGCGTGTACACACAGGTGATGTGTTGCATGCAAATAGAGGGGTTTCAAGGGCGCCGCTATGCTCATCTTCGAAATCTTGATGCGTTCGTGGCTTTCGTCCTGGATGAACAGTTCCTGCGTATCACCCAGTGTGGAGGGATTCAGAAGCTAACTCGGCCGGCCACCCCTTGAGTTCCCATTTACCAGTCCCTGCCCTACCTTCCGGCAAATCACGCTCCCTATTTCGTTCCTAGCTTTGTCTTTGGAAGATGCCTTATTAACATTCTGCCTGTGTGAGATGCATGATCTGTTGTTCTTCAGGTTTTGGGCCCCAGTCCCTCCGTCTGCAGGGAGAGAGGAGGCAATGTGGTTTTCCAGACTTTTTTGCCTACAACGCCCATCATGCCTTTCCAGCAGAGCCGATGGCGGCAGCTGATGGGAGTCATAGGCCTCAGCAGACAAGTGCCACAAGCTACCCGCCCCACAGTAGCTAAAACTCTGAGTCATGATGCAGCTGCGTCTGGTGTCTGCATATCTACACAAGAGGCACAGGTATGCTTTTCGCTAGCAAGACTGTAACCAAAAAAGCACATATCTTGGTTCATAGAGCAGTGCCAGCTTTTGTGGAGCAAAGGTATCCGTGGATGGGGAATCTTCAGCCCACCAAGGGTGGGGGTCCCTCTGTGGGTCTCTGCCACTTCCCTCTCCAAGTCTGGCAGGGAATCGTGGGTTGGAAGGGGCCAAGGAGGCCATCAAGTCCAACCCCCTGCCATAGCAGGACACCCCTTCACACCACCCCACTCAGATAACAGTCTATCTAGAATGCGTCTAGGGTGGAAGAGCACACAACCCCTCTTGACAGCTGGTTCCACTGCCCGTTTGCTCCAACAGGTAGGCAAGTCTTCCTTGTAGGATGCGTGGAGCGGACTCCCCAGCGGAAGCACTGGCAGGTAGCCCTCCAGCCAGGATGCCCTGATGGCACCTGGGCTGTGGGAAGATCAGGGGAGAAACCCTCACCTGGTGCTGCTCTGCCATTCTCTTGCAGTCCAATATAAATAAGGCATCACTGTGGTCTTTGCAAAACCCTGAACAGCACTGGCATTTCCCCCTCCAAACATTACCCGTGAAAACGGCAGTTTCCCCTTTCATTAGACTAACTTCGATTTTATGGCCTTGAGGCGTGCTGTTCTCCACCCATTCCAATCTCTGTCACCTCCAGAAAGTGTCCGATTTCCTCCCCAGTACAGTAGCGCAGCATCCAGAATCTGGAAGATGATATATGGCCTATTAGATTAATGAAGATTATTACTAAAAGGCTCTCAGCAAAAATGAGACAAGTAAACTGATTAGTACAATGATATGTTAGCTTTCCTTTTCATTTGTAAATGAGAGAAGTTAACAGACCGCCTCTCTGCCCAAGAAAGGATCTTGGAACTTTTAACTGCAAGTGCTAAAAATACAAATATATATAAAGAAATCTCATTAAAAGGAATGGAAAGGCGCAGAGCCTCTAACTGCTTCAGCCCCTGTAAGTACTGACGTCTGCCTCACGCCTGGCCCATCACAGCTGTACGCATCAAGGAGTGCCTTTCCTGGCACAGAAGCCACGGCTTCTCAATAGGAAAGCCTGTTTAAAAAATCGTTCTAATAGCAAAGTAAGTCCCTTCCTTGCATTGAGCGTCTGTCCAAGGCACGTAATTGCAAGCGAGAGCCTGAAATCCCATCCAGAGCAGCCCGCAGCGCCGGCCACACTCGGCACTCAAGACGTGCGGAAGGTCAGAGCGAGATCTCGGCTGCCAAGGCCCAGGGGCAGGGGGACAGCAGATGCGTCACCGAGCGGATTTCCACATGCGAAACTACCGTGCCAACTGCTCTAATGGCTGTCATTGGCAGCCGTGGCAGAGGTCACGCTTGCCCGGAGGCCGTGGGGACAGGACGAGAGCTCCTCTTCCATCACGGCGCGTTCTGGACGGTCTCACCAAGGGCAAAGGGATGGCAGTACCGTGAGGACGCCGGATCTTTGATCGCTGCGAAGGTGGGCATTTCGGCAGGTGCTGCCTTTCAGCTCCCTGCTGCCGAGGGACATGACAGCTCGTACCTGCGAAAATTCCCCTCTGGACACATCCGTTAAAGGTCCTTGCGTCCACTAACGTGACGACACGACATACCTCGGCTCTCCCCAGCCTCTCTCCCCAGACCGCAGCTGCAGCGACTCTGGCAGACAAATCTGTTCTGCCCTCTGGAATTATATCGGCAACAAGGTTACAATACACATGGGCTTGCCGATGATGGCAATATTACCTGGCCATTCCCATTTCGGCAAGGGCTCTAGGAAGAGGCGACTCCTTCCAGCCTCCACTACCTCCTGCTGAACAGGTGACTGTTTAGGAGGTACCTGCGTAAGGTGGCACCTTTGCTTCGGCTCCTGTCAGGGGGAATAGCTCCGTGCTCAAAAGCACTGGTGTGGATCACGATTCATGCGTAGATATGAATCCAAGAGGGGCGGTAGTAACTTATCCCACCTTAACTGTCCTAGTTAAGCGAACAAACAAGCGTTTGGGTGATCCTGGGAATGTGCTTTCCAAGATAACAGACTGATGGAAACCAAAAGTATGAATCTATTTCCAATTTCCTCCTCTTCTTTATGTGGACATGTCACATTCTCTCTTGCACAAACACTTCCACTAACGTAAGTCTCCCTCCTCCTCCAATCAGCACACAGCAGGGGCCATAGCAACCAATCAGATCCCACAACGGGGGGTGAATTTAAGAGCAGGCAATCAGCCAATCACAACAGGAAATGCAAAGCAGCCCATCATCCCTAACGGAAGGGCGAATGCAAGCGCCCAGCCAGCAAGCCCACCCAGATGCTGAAGGGGATGGTCACCTTTTGAGGCCTGCTCATACTAGACAGCAGCCAAGGGGGCAGAGCTATACAGTCTGTGCTTCATGCACCTGGAGAAGCAGGTGTCAGATCATCCAGAACCATCCCTACCTGTTCCCTCCTTTACGCAACACGTTCAACGCCTTCGAGGTCAAGTAAAGCCAGGAGCCCCTTTCCCGGCCCTCCTTTTCCGTCTTCATTTCCAGCCATCAGTCCAACCTTCTATAGCTACAGCGAATGCTCAGTCCTCTGTGGCCGGTTTGGAGATCAGGAGAGGACCATCTGCTTGGGAAAGAGAGACCAGGTCTGGGGAAGCTTCCTTAGATGGCCCATGCCACACCTTGGTCCCACACCCTTTCCTCCAACCACCAGTGGGTTAGGAACAGGGGCAGTTGTTTCCTCCTGTCTAAGAGGTTGAAATGTTTCTCCTAAGGATGGATGGCAGAGCATCTGAGCTTGAAGCTGGTGTTCAGGGCCATGACCCTTTGCCTGCAGGACTTGTCCTGAGCGCTTCCCAAAATGGGATTTGGCTGTTGGCCTGGAAGAGGCTCCCTGCCCCTCCAGCCCACCACTGGCTTACCAGCCACAAGAATTAAATGCAGCTTCCATGAACAAGGGCAGTTCAGCTCTGAACAAAGGATGATGGGAACAAACACCAGGCAGGTGTCACCTGTGTGCTTCCTGGAGGCATCTGGCAGTCGCAGTAGTGGACAGGATGATGGGTTATAGTTGGCCCTTTGGGCTGCCCGCGGAGGATGCTTCCATGTGGATCATTTCAAGCCTACATACTTACCCTGCATCTTCACCTACCACGAAATGCAACTGCTCTAGAATGTTTTCCGATCACTCGTCTGAAGGACTCAAGATAAATTATGTGCATGTTTTAAAAATTATGTGCAGCTGCAAACAGAAAGAATGCTTTCTTCATAGATTTTTTTTCTCAAAGAAGAGGAGAAATTGTTCACAAACTCCAATCTGTTCCAAAGCTGGAAATGCCAATTTTAAAAGATTTTACTGCAAGGCATCGTATTTTGGGATCAAAGCTCAGTAAATTTTTGCAGGCTTCTCAGGTCTGAAAAAACAGTCATATTGATTGTTTCCATCCCTCTGAGGGCAAATGCATGAAAGTCAGAGATCCTTAGCATGCATTTCACTTCAGTCTTTAATATTTGTGCAAAACCCTTAAGGGGAGGAAACACCCAACTGGTGAGCATTTATTAGTGAAGCATCCTCAGAATATGGTGAGTTCTTTGATTTTAAAATTTAGCTTGAGCAGACATAGTTTGAGGAATTTGGGGGATACGTGTGAGTGCCCAGGGCCTCCAAGTTATTGAAGACCATGGCAATATGCATCTTGAATTTAGAGATTTTAAAGACAGTTCATAATCAAAGTTACATTCTGCCTAGCTGAAATGACTGGAAAAATGCTTTTAAAAACTGACCCAACCTTTGCCTCAGTCCCCTGGGAATGTTTCAGAGAGAAAAAGCACCGAGATTGACAAATCTTACTTCTTTCAATGGGAGTCATTAAATAAAATAGAGGGGAAAGGCCATGCATCCTCCCAGTGCTGAAACAGCTCCGTTCCGCTTCCTGGAGTTGAACCAGAGTCACTTCCCAGCTGCAGTGCAACTGTTGTGACGGATATCCATCCTCTAAAGATGTTGAAGAAAATAATAATGACTTGTAAAATACACAAAACATACACAAGCAAGTATCAACCTTCCTAACAAGCCCCACTGATTTGTAATCAGGATGGTACATGCATTTAGAAGAAGGAATCACATTTTCCCTATGACAAAATGATGAGGGAGGTGGAGAATGTCAGAGAAATGTAATTCCTCTGAGGCAAAAGCTCTCTTTTGAGGAAAGCCATCTGGTCCCGAGCGAGTTTCAAAACTATCATGCAACCGCCACCAAGAAAAGAAAAAACAGTGCAGAAAACCCCTAACTTGCACGACAAATTAGCACCAATACAATAATTAGCTCCACAGTCTATACTGCTAAATCAAGCACTACATTCTCTCTCGCAGCCGTTGCGGAAACAAGCTCTTCCATTGCATTAAATCGGTGCCCAACTGACCAGAATTAAAAGATGCCCAGCCTCCCTTTGTAGCTTTTCACAGGCACTCCAAGAATGTATTATCTGAAGAACAGCATTCCGATTCTCTAAATGAATCGGCAAACGCATAAACTCAGCTTGGTCTGCAGCTTTACATTCTTGGGTGAAATATCACTTGTTAATTTCTGCCTGACCACCACCTGTTCAGAAACAATGGCAAGGTCTGGTTCAAGAGAGAGCAACCCTATCAAGAGCAGACCATTACGGCTAAGGCTGAAGCTGCCTCCTCTTCCTCTCCCCGTGACATTACTGCCTTCAACTATCTGCCAATCCCATAATTTTACTCATGAATACAGCCCATTTCTGTTTGCATTGACATGGCCAAAGCAGCAGTGCATGCTAAGGCTGGCTATAAGAATTGGGGATGAAAATGCTTCTACACTAACGGAGACTAAGCAATAGCAGTTTGGTGCCCAGGACTGCCAGAATGCGATGAGCTAACTATTGAGTGTCACAGCCCGACTCATTACCATTTGAGATTATACAATAAGTTTGGCTTGTGCCCAAAATCTTACCAAATACTGGGTCTAGGGAGTGAATTTCCCCCGTTTCATGTCAACGACAGAGTTTCTGGAGTGTTTGCCTTCCTCTGTAGCCTGAATCTGGCTTCCTCTCAAGTTATCCCCCTGTAAGTATAGTACCGCAGAGCTCCTTGTTTCTGCTCAGGGCACACACATCACAGTCTAGGGGAAAATACACGGCCGGACCATCCACAATATCGTGGAGAGCAAGCCCTTGTTAGTAACCTGCTGGGCCACCGAAGTCCACTGGGACAGCTGACCTGGGTGGATTTGCACGGGTCCATTTGGAATCCCCTCAGTGTGGCGCTTTTAGTGAATTGGCTCACTCTCTGCAGAATTTCCTGCAAGTTGATGTCAGCCATGAATCCGTCATTCTGTTTTTGCCGTCTGCTAAAAGCACTTTATTTAAACAAGCCTCCCCTGAGACTAGCCATGGCTTTATCGGTATAATTTGATATTAAATATTCTTTTGCATGTTAACATTTTTCTTTCACTGTTCATCACTCAGGAATTTTTTACATTTAGAGTGGTTTATAGATATGTAAATAAAAATAAATACATAGATATGGCGGATAAAACTACAGCTTCCTACACAGGTTTGTGATGAAGAGCAAAACCAGATAATGCAGGTGAGCTGCTCTGAGAATTTGGGATTATCCACGTGTGGACTCCAGATGTTTGGGCTGTTAACTCCCATCAGCCCTTGCCATTGGCTACCCTAACTAGGGCTGATGGGAGTTGTAGGCCAAGCCATTGGGGAGGGCCATAAAAACAGCAGTGCTATGTCATGCAGATATTAAATATATTATATCTGAATATTTATACACATATAATACTATACATTATATATCTTCTGCCACCAGGCAAAAACAATTCTGTTCTCCCACTATTTTAATTATTAAGTGACGTATTTTAAAAAATTATTCTACTTGATTTTATTTACCTGCCAGGTCACTGTTTATGTTACTATTAATTTAGTTGGATGTTTATTTTATTATTTTCTGCCTTTGTTGGTTGGCTCAGGTTCTAAACCGCTGAAATGTATTCTTATTGAAATCTATTAGGATTGTTTTACTATTTTATTATTTTATTGTATTTTAACCTAATCTTATTTTTAATATTGTAAACCATTCTGAGAGCCAAATTGGGCATGGAGAATGGTAAATAAAAGCTTGTGCAAGTAAAATAAATATTGTAATGACTAAACTTCCCATCTGGGCTAGAACCTGCTCCTTGCCCATCACACAACTGGGTATTTCCCAGACTTCTGGCTCAGCCCCTGGGGCTGCCCGATATCCTTCAGGACTTGACCTTAGCTAGACCCAGAGTTGCAAGTCCCTTTTATATTAACATGGCCTCAGGCTGAAGAAGTTGTCTGACTATTTTGACTCAGACAAGCCTCGGGCCATGACATTCCTCTCCACTGAGCCGCTGGCCGGGCTCTTTGCCTCACTAGGCCCCCCATTCCTGAAGGACCCTCAACAGCCCTTCCTCAGTTAGGGCTGAGGCCACCTGCATACAGGTGTAAAGGCTTTATTGAGTGCCCAAAACTTTCAGCCAGTTGGCCTCGCAAGCATGCCCTTGAGCGCCACCTGGTGGCTAACGTCGCGCCACACACCAGCACTGCAAGCAAGTGATCCAGCACCATTTTCAGGATGTGGCCTATACCAATTCCACATATGTCACCCGCACTTTAATTAAATGTCAGTTGCATCTGAAACGTGAAACACAAAGCTGCAAGAACTGAAAATGTAGCTTTAAACACAAAAACCAGAAAGTCAAAAACACACATAAGGGTTTGCGAGGTGAAGAATTTCCACCATCTACGCCTTATTTCGGTTGAGGGGGACGTGCTACTCGCCAGTGCCCGTCACGACACTTCAGATTCCTACGCTGGCAAACCTTACGATGTTTTAGACCTCACACCGACACAGGTTTCAAATGTGAACACCGCGTATAAGGAACTACCTCCAATTTTCCTGGGTGCCAACCGCATTCATAGGAAATGAATGTACCCACATCCGTGCCACAGATATTTAAACCAAACTAATCCCAGTGAAATTGTAATGATGCTGGGAGCATCATCAGACTTGTTTACTTAATCGCGCCATGTGCTGATGTTGGCTCCAACTACAAAATGAATCATAACCCTGCCTTGTTGATGAAGATATATTCCCCCCCTCCCAGTTCTCTCTCTCCAAGCTTTAAAAATGATCTAAATGAGAAAGCTTGCTGCCCTGGCAAATGAGGGTTCATCCCAGGGCTGTGGGGTACTATTAAAGAGCAGCATCCAAAAAAGACTCACTAAAGGGCACCGGGCCCCTCCGAACTATTTTGCTTCCCCAAGTGATAAACCTCGGCCGCAGTCTCCCCCTCCACACAAGCCGAGCAGCTGTAAACAACAGCTGCCGTGTCCCTTTTCAAATCCCGCTTCCAGATCAGCGCCGCTATCAGAAACACATTACTTCGTCGCCATCGCTTGTTGAAGGCGCCATTTAAAAATTTGCTACGCTTCTCTCCGCTGAAGGCTGTAAATCTCCCCGTTTTAATGCCTCTTTATGGGTGGCAAAGGAGCGACAGGTGGGGGGGGAGTCCATCAGGCCCCCACTGTTACATCTATTGAATTAACAATTCTTAGCAGCTCTAATTATTTCCAGAAGGGGCTCTCAAAAGACGGCTGGAGAGAGACTGCAGCATATTAAAAACCTGTTCCACACGATTTCACCCAGTCCAGTCCCTTGCACAAACACCTCCATGCTTGCACTGAGAACCGGTTCAGCGTTTAACAGGCAACTCTTGTCCAGGCCACCGTGAGGCAATTTTTCATGGAGCCCAGCTTGCCTTCCAGAGAGTGTCCTTTAAACCAAGGGGTGCCTAAACCCTGGCTCCCTGGAGCTCAACTCATTAGCTATGTCAAGGATTGAAGTCTACCTTTAGCAGTCCTTGACAGAAACAAATGACAACTCCTTCCAGCAATCCCCTGCTTAGCTCTCTCCTCCACATGGTTTTGAAGGGACTTCACTGCAAAGCTACAGGCCACTGTGGGCAGAGCGCTCTGCAGCCCCCACCCTCCTCCAGCCTACTTTTGAAGTCCTTGCATGGGGGAAGCAAAGCAACCATTCCACACACCACCTCCACCTTTGCAGTGGAAGCACTGAAGGCGTCTCAGAGGAGAGAGAGAACAGCTCCAAGCAGAACGATGCAAGGAAAGGAGCAAAGCTGAGCAGGAAAACAGGCTGGCGGAGCTGCGGGCGATGCCACAAGCATCCGATAGCAGCCCTGTGGCTCTTGCACTTCAGAAGCGATTAGGTCAGGCCCACATCTCCGTTATTTAATTTGGATTTATGTACGATTACGGCTTACTTGGCCATTTACTTATTCCACACATATACCGCCCCGAGACGCGTATTAATCAGCAAGGACTCCACAGGGCCTGATCAGGCCTGCCTAAGCCTCTTCCACAGTCCCATCCCTGTCATCTCACTGCAGCTTGCAGGGGTTCCTTCGACACCACGCTGAGCGGCCCACGCGAGATGCTACTTCTTTCCCTCCTCCAAAATTGACTTTGCTCCTGTGCATTTAACAGCTCCTGGCACAGAAACCGGAGCAGGCGTCTCCCCCACCGCACCCCCAGCAAAGACACAGCAAGAGGCTTCACCTTATTAATTTCTGCATTAATTTCTGCGTTTAAAAGGCAGAGGAGCAGGGGCAACGAGAGAGCGGGCAGCAGTGGATCTTTCAGCAATCGCTGTGCTGGGATGGCTCCAACTGCGATACTGTTTCTCTGCAGGCATAAACACACTCACAGTCCAGAGGAAAAACAGCCGGAAAGAACTCAAGTTGCAATCCTGGCACTTACCCCACTACGATTTACTTTGAGAAAGCTCCCAAGATCCCCAGCAACACTTACTATGGCAGAAGCTTTTGCAGACCAGGCGCTGCTTGGAAGCATGGAACATTTTCAGACAGGCAGCAGACGAATACTAAAGGAAGGAAAGAGCCAAAGGCGCCACCACAGATTCTTTCTTGTATGTCACAGTGCTTTTGGTCACCATTATTTCCATACCTGTACGCATCCTGCATGCCAGCCACAGGTATTTTATATGCCGAAAAAAACTCTTAATGCATCAAGTGTTGACACCACCACATGACTGGTAACCTTCAAATGGCCCATTATATTTTTGTTTATGCAATGTATCATATTGCACAGATATGGACTCAAAATACCCTGCACAGAGTAACAGCACTTTAAGATGTCAATCTCTACTGTGTAGGAAAAGGCAACCTGGCATTTGCCCGTTATTTGGACCAACCACCGCATAACCCTTAGCCAGATGGACCAATTGTCAAGCATAACAGGAGCTGCAGTCGAAGTCTGGTGGGTACCCTTGAGTGAAGTAGCAGGTGGAATTCTCCACTCTTGGCTCCCACAAAAAAATCAGGGAGAGATTACAAAATAGAGCATTCGTTTCTTATTGAAAAGTTACAATTTAAAACCAGGAACTGATTACTTGGGGAAAACAGATGAAAATCGCTATTACTCCACTGTTTATTCACCTGGATGCAAACTTGGCTTTCACAAATTTTGTGTACACTACCAGATTATGCCAGATGCCCCCATCTCTGCTGCACATACCTCAATTTTCCCAGGGGCGGCACAAATTCTTAATTGAGTTTGTGAAGTGCTGAGCTTCTCAGATGTTCCAGAGGTACCCATTAGCATCAAGCTGCAATGAACACTCTGGAGTTTCAGTACCGTCGTCAAAGCCCCAGTAAAGGCTGAGATGGCAGTTTTATGACAAAATTCCATGTTTTGAATCATTCATAAACCTTTGGAAGAAAGCCCTTGGGATTAACCCACTACTCACACAGTCTCAAAGTGAGTCTATTTTCTTTTCTTTAAAGGAATCCATTTTTATGGCATTAAAATTTAAGATGGGATGAAAGCAGCTATTATGAAATAATTAAGTCAGGATTGCAATAGGAACATGAAGAACTAGAGGCCATTTTCTTTTTTAAGGGTGCAATTGTATGCATATTTGGACAGAAAACTCTCTCCACTCCCTGCGTATTCCAGCCCAGGATGCTGGAAATGGCAGCAGCCTTTTCTTTCTGGGTATTCATAGGACTGAACCCCGAGTGAGTTTTAATGTGTTTTATCATTGCTTTAATCAGTTTTATTTATCTAGAATTGTTAAGATACTGTGTGTCTACACTATTCTTATTGTTTTTAGAATGTCAAACCAAGTTCATATCCACCCACACTATCCTCCAAAATTAACACCCAGAATAAGTTATCTATTGCAGCTTTTCGGCGTATCCATCACATCCAAGGGGCATGCTATTAAAGACATCTCAGGCAAAGGTTCCACAAGCAGGAGCAATACAATTTAGTGCCCCTTTCAAAAATCAACACCTCAACAAGCAAGGCAAATGGAAAAAATAGAGAAACACACAGCTTGCCACCGACTCTCATGTCGTGATGCTGAGCTCAGTCAATCCAAGACCCAAACCGTAGCTGTCAACAATGAACAACACATGGAGGAATTCATTTTCTGCCACTGGGGTGGAATCCTTATAAATAAAATCAAAATTGAATTGCTAGGGCAGAGACAAAATGATCCTATTTTGTACTATTTAACAACTATATCAGCTTTCCATACAGAGTAGAATACAGAACCATCTGAAACAGAATTGTAAGCTACTTAAAGGAATCTAAATGATTAATCTTCCGCCTTCTAATCAATTAAGTTTACGCTCATTTAGGCCCTTCTTGAGGTACTGAAGGATCTCTAAGAACACTTACAGAAAATCCATCTTAAATATTTTTCAGGCCTTGTTGTACTAACACGTTCAGAACAAGAACAGCCTAAAAAAACTCAAGTCTGCCCTTAGCAGTCACCCCAAGCAATTAAAGTTTGCCCTCTCCAATTAAGATTGATCCGAAAGTAACTAGAGTTTTACTTTGTTAATCTACCAATTAAAGATTGCTGTCAGAACAGTGCTTCAGCCATCAAGTATATTATTAGGGGAAAAAAAGTAATTATGCCTGCAGTTGTGCGTATTACATACAAAGAAAGTTGGGATACACAGCACCTGATACGCATTTTTCACCCTGAATTCTCAGTTTTTTAAAAGCATCTGTTCATCAAAGTTGTTGCAAAGAAGTTTGAAATGGTGTGGGCACTTCATGGTAAAGTCTTAGATATTAGCAGGGAGCCAAATTCTGTAAGGAACAAGGCAGAAGAAGCAAACCCTTTGGGAAACTATACACACAATATCAGTAAATAAACAATTTTATTTTTAAGCTGAAATTTATTTCAATGCTTCTTGCTTGCGGCTGCCACCTAGAAAAGAAAAGAAAAGAAAGAAAAAAGTTGGCCTTGGCAAAACACAGAAGCAAAGTATGTGCTCAATCCAGCGCCAAATATATTTCCTACAATTATAGAACAGTTTTCTGGAACTCAAACCCTGCCCTTCATCTAACGCTCTGCGTCTATGGCATGATGGCTGTAACTCCATGTGCTTTGTACGACCCTGTTTTGGGAGGGATTTTGATAAAAAACCACAAGCAACCAGGTCAAGGTGGCCAGAGACAGTCTGGACAAGAACCACACAGAACCCTCTTGTGGCATATAATTCAACCTCTGGCACAGGGAAAGCAAATCAGAGCCATATAGGATGATGCTGCCACAAACTTATCTTCCTAGGGACCACGACACTATTAAGTTTTTCAAGGCACCACAGAGTCAATAGACTAGGATCTGGAACGCATGTAAGCATTTTGCTCCAAGTTACCCACTGCTCTTTGACAGAGAAAAATCCATGCCTCATTAGCAAACACAGGCATGCCCTCCAAGAAGCACGTTGAGATGAATTTAGTTTCCTATCTTTGCTAAGGTAACCAGCTGCTGAACCTGGGCCCACCAACCAATTCTCGATATGGACTGCTTTTTAAAAAGCATAGATAAGAAAAAATTCAGGACTTCTCAGTTGGATTCACATTCCTTCAGTTAAAAATGAGAGATATCTGTCAAGCGTATGTGATTTTTCATTTTGATACATGTTTGGAGATGTTCCATTTAATAACTTCCATGTATTTGTAAAAGCAACCATTTGTGAGGAATAATTCACCCACAGTACATTGTAAATGTCAGCTCAGAGCTGGTTAATGTGCCATCATCTTAGCACTTTATCTGATGGCACGGGGCTGTTAAAGAGTTTTATTGGGGACAGATCATCAAGTACAAGTTTTAAGAACAAACCTTAAACAGTGCGGAGATATACACAGATCTTTCTAACAAGTCTTAAGGAATGAGACTGTTGGGGGCTCAATTTGGGCCCTACAAAAAGTTTTGCCGAAACACTTCCAAGTGTCTTGCTTTGGGTATTCCTCACCTATTTAATTTTGCTTTTATTGTCAAGTTTTTAAAGGGGCCATGCAATTCTTTAGGACAGTATTTTTGCAAGCGACTCAAATCCACCATGACTCATTCTAAACATCCCTTCTCCAGCACCACATCTCTCTAGCCAACAGAACAGGGACTGCTGCATTCCCATGTCACCAGGGTTAATGCAGAACTGGGGCAAAGCAGGGCCATACAAAGACAAAAATGCTTGTTGCCCCTTAAAGACCAATAAATGTTTTGTGACACACAGTTTTACAGGCAACAGGCTACTTACTGGATGCAACTGATTAAACTCCACAAGACTATGCAGCCTACAGCTTTACAATATGCAGTCTGCCAGCACTGACTTGGTTAATTGTCTGTGACTTAAAAGGCCGGGGCGAGTGGGGAGAGAGAAGGGTATACGATTTTCTAAAGAATCCCAGCCTTGTCCCTCGCAGGGAGCCTTTACTGTCATAAAACTGCCTGTGTCCTCACCACACGTTAACTACAGGTCTAGAATTTATTCTTAGGTAAACAGGTTACCTGTCCAGCAATTCTGTCCAGATCTCTCTGTCCCTGAGGAGTAAGCTTGCGACCTCTGAAAGAAACCAGCGACTGTGTCAGCATATATTTTGAACTAAACCTAATTTGGAACTGCAGGGCTCTCTGGGACTTGGTTACAGCCATCCAGTAGCTTGAGGCCATTCTTCATCCTCAGAGGCCCCAATATTCCACCACTATTTTTTTCTGCAGTTACAATAAGGCTAATTTCGATCCAGGAGTCCTCTCAAAACGTAAGTACACAGGCATTGCAGAAAATAACTGAAAGCAAATATATGGGAAACTTGTTTTACCAAAGTCAAGCACACCGCAGCATTAATCAAGGGGTCCCACAGGACCAGGCCAATGGGCCAGCTAATCGACCACCCTGCTTCCAATCTTGACCATCCAGAGGCAGGTCATGAAAGCGGCTATGTTCTTCTCCTCAGCTTCTCTGGTATGCTGCCTCTATGCTTGGGGCAATTCATCCTATGGGGTCTTCAGCACGATGCCCAATAACACCACCCTTGCTGCCCGCAAGCCCCCTAAGCCTCACACCCAGCCACCCTGGTTCCTCCCAGGAACCATCTTCCTTTTTTCAGAATGTCTCTAAGCTTAGGAGGATTTCCAGAAGTGCTGCTGGCTGGAGCACCCCATGACCTCCTGTTCAAGCTAAAGGGAAGAAAGAGGAATCTGCCACCAAAACTGATGTTCATAACAATTCTTGATCATTTCCTCAAATTCCAGGTGCACTCACGAACCCAAAAGTCTTGGCACATCCTTGCAACAGATGAAATCCACTGGGTTGCTCATTAATGCACTGGATATTCTCACAAACAAGGCAGGCAACCTTGATATTCTCGGCCGTTTTCTCTTACACAAGCAGCCACTTAGGCTACTGTGAGACACACATTCCCCAAATACTAGGAACTCACCCATCCTGGTCTTTCTCCACCATCTTGAGGCCTTCCAAAGCCTGAAGCACCCTCCTAGCAACGCTCTTGGAGCCCCGGCTGAAGTGGCTGGGCATCACACCATTGCGCTGGCGGCCTCCGTAGATCTTGGTCATGGAGCCCACTCCAGCCCCTCCGCGGAGGTACAGATGGCGGGCTGTGGACGCTGCAAATGGAAGACTTGATTACCGGACACATCCCATTTCTGATTCTTACATCCAAATGCTAAAGCTGATCCTAAGTACCGCTGAACGAGGTTTAGAGGTGAGGTCTCTGGGGGCCCAACTCCAAATTCCACAGGTTGCCTTGGATAGTACCACTGAAAGGACTCTCAGGAACGACTTACTCATGTGAGCAGCATACCAGTCAGACTCAGAACTGACCACTTCAGCCAAACCGAGGGGCAAAGCGATCTGCCAGACCATGAAGGCTGCCCCTGACAAAGCTCCCAGCTTACCTCAGGCTGTTTGCAAGCCTGAACTGATTACTCCCCTAAATGAAAAGTCCCACTAGAAGTGGCTAAAGTAACAAGTGAACTATCACTGAATACAGTAACACCAGGCTACTATTAGCCAAAGTCCGCTAACTGAAGACGCATCAATGCACCACTGATGTTAACAGTGCTTGAAACAGTGGCATTAAAATTCTCCGTCTGCACCTAGAACGGAATTACAAGACGCAGGAGCAGATATCACGAAGGATAAAGCTCTTTTTATCACCACGGCTGCCTTTTACAGAAGCACCTGCTCTCTCCTGGGGGGCTGCTGTTCACGCACAGGCAAAACAGACAGCCTGAGGCTATGTGCCCACAGGCCAAGAGACTGCCTCCCAGACCAGCATTTCACTAGAAGAGCTGCAGCAGCAAGGCAACAACAGGGGCTGTGGTACTTAACAGAAATAACCCCAGCAGCAGTACAAGGGAGAGGCACGTCAGACTTCAGGGCTTCCCTGAAAAATCCTCGCCCCAGCAGAGGCAGCTTGAAAAGCCAGAGATGAAACGAGAGAGAAAACCGCACTGTGTTATTTACTGTAAATGCAAACAGATGGGCGTATTTGAGGACACAACCGAATGCCGTGTGAAAGGACACTGCAGGATCTCCACACACAGCAACTCTAAAGCTCTCCAACTGTTGCAGGGATCCCTCTAAAGTCAAGAACAAAACTATCCTGGACCTCAGGGGGGCCGAGGGAAGAAAGCCAAGACACGGCTCCTGGCTGGCTACCAATATTTGCTCGCATCTTCCTTCTACAGGGAGACAAGCCAGAGGCAAAGGGTTTGGTCCTGTGAAAGCAACTAGACCAATTCTCAGCATTGCCTGTCACAGTGGCAAGTTGGCAAGACCTCTAGCAATGGTCCCCAGAAGATTAGGGGGTGGAAAGAAAGAAGACCAGGCAAGTGCCCGGTTCTCCTATGGAGATGCTTTCACAAGCATCGTAACGGAAGCTCATCAAGCGGCATCTGTAAATGAAGGCATGACCTGTCCACAGGACAACTTAAATGGATGAGACTCTGGCTGCCAGCCTGATTTGAAAATGGTTGGAAGCCTGAGGCCAAGTGGCAACAATCGCTGCAATTTCCTGAGCCAAAAACACCCCGTCACAGTAAGCGCCATGTCCGTGTTACGCTACACAGATGAGTGGCTAAAGGGGGAGGGGGGACATCCAGCAGGGAGCTATTCTATTCCTGCAGGGTCTACCCCCCCCCCGCACCTATGCCCAGAATTGGATCAAGGCTAGGCAAAGACTGCAAGGGCAGCTTTAGAAGGGACAACCACTCTTGCCACTGCCCGGGGGAGACACGATCTCCCCATCAATGGCGACAGGAAATGAACCTCCTGTTCCATTCCTATGGTGCTATGGCAGCCGGGGGCAAAAATGCTTTTAGTCCCCGAGGAATGGGCTGAAGAGTAACAACAGGGCTCATGTGCTGCACATACTGCACATGTCACCCTTTGTAGTCATATTCTAGTGAAACACCAAGGTAAAGCATACTACACCTATGTGGAATGAGCGTGTGTGTGCACATGTGCAAGTGTGTGTAGGGGGGAGAGGGAGAGGGAGAGGGAGAGAACACTAAGAGGCTTTAATAACTAGTGCGGTGCAATATTTAAGAGCATCCCCCGGAAGTTCTAAGCTCAACTATGCATTTATTGGAAGGCATCATCCCTCTCTCAGTTACAGCACCCCCGTTGGAAATGTGTGCGTGGGGATAACGGCACATTTTACAAGATTACTGTAAAGGCTACCTACACTAAGCTCTATTAATAATTTGCTCACATAAAACTTTCTGTATTTACCTTCCCTTTCTTCTTACATCATGCTTTAAGTTTTTTGGGGGGCAAGAAAGCATATCAATTTATGTCCATTTAACAAGAAAGGACATGAAGTGTATCAAGTGCTCACATTTTTTCTATATAGTTTGCACCAATTTTCAGAATATTGTTTGGTGGAAGATGAGGGAGTTAATCTACTGCACTTCCAAGAACTGCCGTCGAACTACGGTGAGTTTTGACATGGTCCATCATGGTCTCTCATGCAACAAAATGTTGATTCGACAGTCACTCTACCCAGCATGTTGTACTGGTCAGAGTGCTGGACTGGGACTCAGGAGATCTGGGCCCTACTCCCCACTCACTGACTCCCAGTCTAATCTACCACACAGGAGAGAAGGATTGTGCATGCCGGCTTGGCCTCTTCAGAGAAAAGCTGATATAAATGCGATAAACAAATAGAACATGTGCTTAAAATAAAAAGATGCATCACATTTGCCTGATACTAGACACATTCAGCTGCTTACCTGCTCTGGTGTAGAACCAGTTCTCATCGTAGGGAGCCAATTCCTTGTGTTTGGCTAGTTTGACCGTGTCCACCCATTCAGGTACCTTCAGTTTACCTGACCTGCAAGAATTCAAAACAGTGATCAGCACACAAATTTTTATACCATTTTACTTTAACTAAGGTGGTGTTTTTACCCACAGGTGAGCCACCCCCACCTATGACTTCACCACATCGAGAGATGAAGAAATGGCTGGGTTCACCCAACAGTCTAACCTACTTGGACATTTTAACCATGCACTGTGGAAAATTCCTCTGCCGCTGCACTGGCTACAGCTTCACTTTTTAAACAACGCCTGTAATTTGTTCCCATACTTGGGAGAATGGGAGCTTCCTGGCACCACAGGAACCCCCCTCACGAAACCCAAGGGTTCTGCTGCAAGGGGTGCTGCCCACACACCCCACCTTTAAAAAACCAGGCTGCAGGGATGAGCCCTTGAGTGGCCTACAAAGCTGGGATCTGACACGGACACCTGGCCGCATGCACACAGCATGCATGCCAAGCCGCAACGTTCCAGTCCACTACTGACCGCTTTTAACCTTTTTTTCAAGAGAAACTCCCTTTGCTGCAGAAACGGGGGGGGGGGGGGGATGGTGCTTATGTGTCCCCAGGCTGTCCTAAGCACCAGCCTTCTCCCTACACAAAAATCCCCAAGAACCTGTGAGTTCTGTGAGACACCCCCCCCCCCCAATTCTCCCCTTTCTAAGCAGAATCCTCAGGGTTTCCTCAGGGTGCTAGGAAGCTGCAATTGGCAAGCCTGGTAGGCAGTGAACCAGGCAAGATGGATTGGAAGCTATCCCCACCACATACTTTGCTGCGTTTAGACCACACAGTAAGCTATGTGCCATTAGGGTAATTGGGGAAATCACAAGTATGTAAACAAGTGTGTGGCAGAGTAGCCGCCATGGTAGAGTATCTGCTAACACACACACTGGTATGCACACTCAAGATAATAAACCTAATTTTAACCGGATTATTCCAGTTAAATTTTTCAGACAACTTACTTTTTCAAGAAGGCTGCAAGGGCCCTCACAAACTCCTGCTGGTTCACGTCTTTTACAGTTACACCAGGCATCTGCCGAAAGAATAGGGAAGAAAAAACAAGCATGGAGTAGCAGTTTAGAAAGAATGTTTGCAGCTGCACAAATTTGGAGATGCTATTGGGAGGCTGCCCTACTTTCCATTAAAATGCTTAAGTAAATATGTCTGAGCATTTTTGAAGAGTTAAAAGTATATGAGCTTAAAAGTCATTTCCACTGCTTGTGTACACATCCATAAAATTTTCTGTAAATGCCTTTACCCAGACCTAAATCCACAACTAGAAAAATGTTAAAATTATCATTCCAATCTAATTCATACGTTTATTATTTTTTTACAAGATACTTTCAAAATCAAAGACTAAAGTACAGTTCCTGCTCAACGTTTCTCCACATCCAATCACTGCATGGTTTGGTCTGCATTCCTGCTAATTATGCTCGGCTCTTTACAGACGTTTACTCCATGCATAGAATTGGAAGAAAACTGGTCTGATAGCGAGATATATCCAGGATTCCGCTTAGGAAGCCCCTCAAAAAAGACTTATGAGTAAATATACATGTGGGGCAGTGAATTTCCATTACCAGGCCTAACCAATTAAAGAGGGATCAAAACAGACGAAATTAAATTTCGTTCCCATAACGCAAGAAACAGCGACGCGCAGTAACGCCCGAATCCAGAGCCGGGCAGCATCCTCGTTCAGACCTATCCAGTCAAGTGGATTATCCATTATTTCCACGGGCAGGCAGCTGGGTCCGGAGCGCAGGACGGCTCGGAACCACCGCGGCTCCTCCACGCAGCACGCACGCTGCCGGCCCCGCCGCACCCCCACCCCGCCCGCCCGCGGGCTCTCCCCCCGTTTCGAGGCGGCGGGCCGGGCACGAGGCCCGGCCATGCCGCCCCAAAGGGCCGGGGAGTGCGAGCAGGTCAGCCCGCGTGCCGCGGAGGCCCCGAGAGCCCCGGAGCGGGGACGCAGGCCCAGCCGCGCTCACCGTGCTGCCGCCTCTCCGCGCCCGTGCCGGAAAAAGAGGCCACGCGGGGTTCCCCACCCGCTACTCACAGGGCCGGAGACCTCGCGATACTTGCCTAGCCAATCACAAGCCGCGAGACTTGAGGCTCACCCAATCCCCGCCGCGCGGGAAGGAGGGCGCCGCTCTGAGATCTTAGCAGGAGACGAGAGGCGGAAATGATGGACACGATTTGCCCACTAAAGGGCGGAAGCTGAGCTCCCCCCCCCCGCCCTTCTGAGGGCGCGCTAGCGTAGCTTGCCGCTGGGCGGCGCGGTGCGGAGCAGGAGAGCGGACCTCGGTTCGAACACGGGACGGGGCATTTTTTGCGAAGACTTTTTTTAATCAACTCCCATCATCCTCAGCCACCTTGCCCAATATAGTTCAACACGTCTGGAGAGTACCAGACTGAGGAAAGATAATTTAGGACGTGGTCTTGTGCATGCTTAAGCAGCAAAAAATTGGGCCTTTTTTGACTTAAATATGCATAGCGCTGCATCCTTAAACGTTTTAGCGTCGCTCAAGTTTGGTGAGGGTTTTTTTTGCTAGAGATTCACAGATGTTGAACGCATTTAAAATAAACCTCGGGACAGTGTGGTGTAGTGGTTAAGGGTGCAGGACTGTGACTCAGAAGGTCTGGGTTCTAGTCCCTGCTCTGCCATGGAACTGGCTGATTTTGGGCCAGTCACAGACTTTTAGCCCAACCTACCTCACAGGGTGGTTGTTGTGGGGACAAGATTGAGCAGAGGAAGAAGTTTAAAGAAGCATTCTTGAGCTCCTTGAGAATTAAACAGTGGGGTATAAGTGTAATGCATAAGAGTCATGCTGGTGAGTCCAAGGACCCATCTAATCCAGCATCCTCAACACGATGGGAAGCCAACAGTTAGAGCATGAGTGCAACAGCTTCTTCTGGCCCATGTTCCCCAGTAACGGATGTGCATAGGCACACTGCCTCTGCCACTGGGGGTGACCTAGGGCCCCAGACTAGAAGTCATGGACAGCCCCCTTCTCCATTAATTTTTCTAATCCCCTTTTGAACCCATCCAAACCGGCATCCCTCACCCCCATGCTTGTTCACAAAGGCTGGTAGGATAGGACTTTCCTTTGTGGAATATTCATTGATTTTTCTTCAGACAAAGCTTTCTTCCTCTACCTATTTTATAATGATGGATGCAACTGCTCTTTCCTCCAATTTCCCCTGACAAAGTTAGTTTCACAGGGTGTAATTTTCCTGCTTTTCTCAAACCCTGTAAAAAGCATGGCATTGCAACGGCTTTTTCTCAGACCTTTGGCAAGGAAGCGGACTTAACTGACAAGTTGTGTGTGTTTGTTAGAAGTGTGACATCTGCTCTCCGTAAGGAATCCCGAGGAGTCCTAACACTATCAGTCAGAAGACACCCAGATCTTCCAGACAAAACTCCGATGCTGCCATCATTCTGCCCATTCACAAAACCTTGGCTTGCAACCTGTGTTTTTCCACGGCTTTGTCCTTTTCCTTACCACAGAAGATCAATTACGGAGGGAAAGACAGAGTACTTGCATGATAGCTTCTGAAGGGAGTGCTGAGAATTCCCATTGTGTAGCAGCTGCAGCTCCAAGCGTTGATTTATGTCTGGTATGTACCTTTCTGCAGGTACAAAGGTAAAGGGGAGAGGCACATATGTCAAGAGCCCTGGATTTGAATTATTTGTCTGCTACAGAGTGCAGCATTAACAGGGCCAAAGATCAATAACAAAAAAACCCACCTTTCTCTCCCAGTTACTCCTTCCCAATTTTTCTGTGGGTCTCTCTCTCTTTCTTGACTCTTTTACCTCCCAAAGATAAAAGTCAGCTTTATTGCACTGAGGTTTAAAGAAAATCAATTTCATTAGCTTTATTCAGGCTTCTAAAAATACCGAGGACCAAGTCACAGCCTTTGTTTAAATAATGGCTTTATCGACATTCGCTGATGTCCATTATGTGCTTTAACGCTGCAATATTCAATAGTGCTGTGCAGTTCAGCTCTCTCGTTTTCGATAATTGCTTTGTGGGCGGAAGCGATTTTCCTATGGCAGTCTTAAGTGGGCCCCTCTCTGTTGCACTGAGCGGATCGCGCCCAAAGGCAGACAAAGCGGACGGAGGGGGCGCCTGGAGGAGAGTGCCTGGATGCAAAGAGAACAGGGATCCCGGCCCTGAACAGGCCACATCAGTTGGAAGAAGAGGTTTCATCAGGGGCTGCTCTGTCGCCTTTGCATGGCAAGGAGCATCTGACGAAATTATCTCTTCCACACGCTCGTTAAATGGGCAGGACCTCTGCCTTCAGGCCAGCCTTGCGGGTCAGCTGGATTGGATGCCCCTTCCCTCCTGCTTGCTTCGCTAACAGCAGGCGGAAGGAGTGGCAGCTTCCACTTTCCTTGCGCTCCTCCTGGGTTGTGGAGAGGCTCGGACCCAGAGGAAGGGGTCACGTGAATGGGAAGCTGCGACAACTGGCAAAGACACAGGCCTACTGGGGGCTCACGGTCAGCAGCTTGCCCAGGTGTCCCACCCCGTGGAGCCGCCGCCGGGTTTGTTCACTCTTTAAAGACCTCCACTGCAAGGGGAGCAAAAGGGAGGACTGGATCTGTCCGTAGATCTTCGGGTGATTTGCAGTAGATTGGCAAGGACTTCTGACTCCCAATTGCTCAAGTACAGTATCACTGAAATGCTGCTCTAAATGGTACTCGGGGCCACCCAAGATCTCTCGCTGAACCCCATGGTGCCCCCGCTGAGCATTTGCTGCCTGAGACCACTGCCCCACCTTGCCGAATAGCAGAGCTGGCGCTGCTGGAAGTAAGAAAGCAGGAGTGGCGATTGCGTGGAAGAGCCGCAAGCTCCGCTTGGAACTCAAAACCATTCCTGGGACCAGAATTCTTCCATTCTAAATGAAGGCCTTTTGCTTGTCTTTCCCAGTGGTGGATCTCGGGGTTCTAGAGTGGGGGGGGGGGGCTGAGACAGATCCCTGAAGTCTTCCCACCCCTGCTTTATAATATGTCAAAGTTCCAAAGTGGTCTATCTTCTGTCCAGGAAATGAAGACACACACACACAACAAATGGTTCTTAGCGTCAGGGAGTTTGCTTTTTCACCACATACAGAACGCGTGTCTAGGCAAAACTAGATTTTGAAGAGCGATGCGGCTGGCCTCCCACAATAGCACATATGCTACCCTACCCCAGTGAAAGATGTCAGCAATGCACCTGAGATCGCCAAATGCTTTGGACTTCAACACCCAGCATTTCTTATCATTGGCCATTCTGACAGGGGCACCTGGAAGCTGGAATCCAAACTGTCTAGAGCTCTGTCTTCCGCCACCCTTAAGTGTCAGGGAACAGTAGCAAAAATCCAAACACTTCAGCTGGGCAAAACGTTTAGGACCAGCCGAGATCCTGGAAAAATGTGCAAGCCTTCAGGTTCTCCAGAACTCTTCATCAGGCTAGGTAATACAGAAAGTAGAGGCTGGGGAAGAAAGAACAAAGTCCAAATCTGGACCAGTTTGGACAGTACAGACAGACCCAGTCTCAAAATGGCCATTTGCAGCCTGAATGCATGAGATTATGGTAGGTGTGTGGATATTCTGTGGCATCTAGCAGAGTATTCTGGAACAGAGGAGCAAAGGCTGAAGTCCATGTCTGAAAAAGCAAAGGACCACTCTGACCTGCACCTTGCTTTGCATGAAACACAGAGGTTCATGCAGCAGCAAGAAGCTGGAGTGCAGAAAAAATACGGCAGTCCCTCTATTAAACAGAGCCAGAGATGAAGTTTTGGTAGCACGCGAGATAAACAAGACACCCGAGGCCAAATTGTGAGCTTTACTGAGTGGCTGGAGGGGATGCAGTCCTCATACAAAGTTCCTTCTCAGGTGGTAGAAAAGATTCTGCCCTGGATGGCTAAACAGGTTATTTTCCAAACTCTATTTTTAAAAAAGCCGCGTGGTCCAAGGGGGGAGCACTGGGAGTCGTAGGACTTTTCTCCATCTAAACAAGCACACGCAAAGCTGCACCACCAACGGCATGATGAGCATCTGACAGTTCTGACCGCAAACGGGTCACCAAAAAGCCCTCCGGGGAGGTTCACCTGCTTCAGACCTGGGGGTGCACCTTGGGGTTGGGGCAACAGCAGGCCTTCAGCCTTGGCCAGCGCAGGACACGGTGGAGGAACACGGAGCGCAGGGCCAGCGCAAGGTCCTTCTTCCTCAGCGCGTAGACCAGAGGGTTGGCCAGGGAATTCAGGTGGGAGAGCAGCACGGCGAGGCGGTACAGGGACTCGCGGGTCTGGCAGCTGGGGCACAGCAGCTGGACGCAGTAGATGACCTGCAGGGGTCCCCAGCACAGGCAGAAGACGCCCAGCAGGAGAAAGAGGGTGCGAGCCATGCGCAACTCCCTTCTCTTGGCGGGCCACAGAGCCTGGAAGTGGCCACGGACCACGCGGAAGAGGTCCACGTAGATGCCCAGCATGGCGGCCAGGGGCAGCAAGGTGCAGGTGAAGAGAAAGCAGGCGAGGTAGTCTGGGCTAAAAATGGAGGTGAAGCAGCAGAGGCCCTGGTGTCCACTGGGGGTTTTGCCAGAGCTGAAGTTCTGGGGCCCAGGATAAACCTTGGAGAGGAGCCCTCCGTAAGGGATGTCTCCGGCTATGATGACAAGGGCCGCTCTCTCGGAGGGGAAGCTGAACGTCAGCGTGCTGTTGCCGGCCTCCACGTACTGCTGGAAGCGGTTCCAGCCCATCATGGGCAGAAGGCCTATCAGGAGCGAGATCAGCCAGCAGAAGACCACGGCGGTCGCCATCCAGCCCTTCTTCATGCGCACGGCGTAGCTGTCCAAGGAAAGACTCCTGTGAGGCTCCCGCGAGGCTCCCGCGAGTTGGGAGCTCCTGCATCGCTAAGCACTGTGACTTTTGGGGGAAGGACAGCACCACCCCACCAAGTGAGCCGCTTCCTGTCCTCTCCTCTCCTCTAACCTACTCAGCTAAGGCATTTCTGGAAATGAAGCCAGCAAGATACTTAGCAGCACTGCAGACCCGCACACTAATTCACAGAAAGACAAACGGGGTGTTTCTGCGATTGTCCTGCACCACAGCGCCACCTTGTGGTTGTATAATGGAACAAAAGGAAGGCAAGGAAAAAATGGGAATGAGGCGGTATTAATTCCAGAAAGAAACTGGAAGCAGAAGCCTCAGGAAAATGGTGGGTTAAAAGCCTCATGTAGAGAAGCCAAAAGATTCTAGCTCAAGTCCAGTCTTTTTCTGCTGACTGGGGAGAAGGGGCAGCAAAAGGTCCTAGGCTGCTCCTGGCTCTTTTAATATATTGTGTTGGCTGCTGCAAAAAAGGGACGTTCCCAGAGGAAACACCCCCATTGTGCCCTTTCCATCTCAGTCTGCAATTCCAGAGGGAAGGAGGGAGGCACGCCATCAGACTCGCCTTCCTCTGCCTGGTCCACAGTCTGATTGCAAAGAGGTATTTGCACGAGGACCCAGCTAACTGGAGACCAGCTGCAGTCTGTTGGCTGGTGGCATCAGCTTGTCCTCCCCACCCCAGTGTGCCCACACCTGGAAAAGGCAGGTGTGCTCGTGGCAGAGGCAAGACTGGGAAAATAAGGGAGAGAGAGTGTTTTAAGGGTGGACTGAAAATGGTTTGAGATAGGCCTTATTTCTCGTGATGGGCAGACATTTGTCTTTAGCATCACTGTAGGAAAATGAGAACTATTAGAAGCCAGTTTATCAGGCGTGAAAGATAGATGTATATCCAGCTATACACTGAATCGTGCTAAAGCAAACACACGCTCTTCCACAGCTGGGCTACATCACCGCTCCAAAAGCAGCAGTCCCTCCTCCGAGTTGATCTCGCCTCTCTGACAAAAATTTGCCTCCAGCTTAAGGAGGCTGTGAAGGGCCCTTGTTAAACAGCGGAGCAAATTATTTGCATGCAGACAAATCCCAAGGGAGATTCCTGGCTTCTCCAGATGAGGTTGGAAAGAAAGAGCCCCTGGAGAACTGCTGCTGCTGCCAGTCCGTGCTGGCTGTACTGGGCTGGATGGACCAAGAGCTGGCTCAGTAGAAGAAAGCTTTCTATGTGAAGCCTACACACACACACACACACACACACACACACACACACACACCATGCTGAACAAAGAGTGTCCGACTTGCCTGTTGGGCAGCCTGACCTTCAGGTGGGTGTTGATGGCGATGACCAAGAGGAGGAGGATGGAGAACTGTGTGGTGACCAGCGGGAAGCACGTGAGGAAGAGACAGGTGTAGAAGCGCAGGGCCAGCTCCAGGCTGAGCACCACGGAGAAGGGGATGGCCAAGGCCCCCACGCCGAGGTCGGCCACCGCCAGGCACGCGATCAGGCAGTTGGGGATGCACCTCAGCTCCTTGTGCAGGTAGATGGTGGCACACACGAGCAGGTTGATGGCCAGGATGGCCACGGCCAGGACGCCCTCCAGGACCGCAAAGCCAAGGGGCGCATCCATGGGTAGCTGGCGCAAGCCACCTTCCTCTTGTCCCTGCCGAGGAAACAGGCCTGCTGCCACCAGGGACCAAAAGAGTCTCCTGTTACATTTCGGTGGCGCACCTGTTACCTGCCTTGCAGGTCCACCCTGCCATCGCCAGCACGAGGCTAATAAACCAACGCTATCTGTGTTTGCTGAGCATTCTGCCAGCAAAGGGATCGAATCAGCCACCGGTACAAGGCGGCCGATGATGGGGACTGATGCGTTAACACTCATGGATTGGAGGCCTGGCCCCAGAGCGAGGCAATCGATGGCAGAGCTGCAGCGAGTGGGGAGCAGGTGTGTAACGCAAACCTCGCTTTGAACAGAAAACCTGCAGATGGCCATTCTCACACCGATTCTCTGGCTGGGAGGTCCAAAGGATTCAGTGCCTACATTTTGCAGGTGAAGAGTCAGAGGTGTGGATGGTTTGTTTCTTGGGGAAACATTTTTAAAATAGATTTTTATCTATTTCATTTTAACATAAACTAATACAGAAAAAAGAAAAACATACATGAAACAAGCTAGAATAAACAAAGTTGCCACGGGAATGTTAAACAAATGCAAGCATTACTTTCAAAACTTTCAACCAAGAATTGTTGCACAATGTGCATGCAAAATGCCCTCCATCTGAGAACAAGCTCAATGTCTGGTGGATTTAGAAACAATGTGAGTCAGAAGGGGTCTCCTGGGCCATCTAGTCTGACCCCAGGCTCTAGCCGGCTCCACTCATGTGATTGTCCAACCTTCCCTTGAACACCCTCACTGACAGGGCCTCCACCACCTCCCTTGGAAGCCCATTCCATATTCAAGGGGTCCTAACCATCAGGAAGTACTTCCTGGCATCCAGTTTGAAGCCGGTTCCTTGAGCTTTGCCCCACTGGAACGCGTCCTGCCCTCCCCTGCAGGGAAGAAGCTCACTGCCCTCCTCCACATGACATCCCCTCACATACCTGTAAGTCTATTATGCTGTCCCCTGTCCAGAGCATGGGCCATGGTTCAGGTAAGTATTTGTACTTAGCATTGCAAGACCCTTGGGGAAGGGATGGCCGTGGACGCTATTCTCCCCAGACAAACAAACAAACAAACAAACAAACAAACAAACGAAACCACTCCCTGGATGCAATTCCCCAAATGAGGTGCATATCTAAACTGCAGTCCCATCCGCTCTGGCCATTTTCCTAATAATTTCTGGGGGAAATACAGGAAGGGCACTGGGGAAAGGAAACACACCAGTACGTGAGACAAGCGTGTTAGGAGTTTGCCAATGCTCAGAGGTCTGCAGATTGCTAACTGCCTTCTAGGAAACCAGAGGCCTATTAGAATCAACAAGATAATCCCACTGCCAAAACGGGCAAATTTGAAGAACAGAAACGAAAAAGCAGCTGCAGCTGCCGCAACTCGGTCTTTCACGAATTCCCCAGTCCCCAGTTCTTAATTCTGCAGTAGTTAATGTCACAAGCTTTCGTTGCACACATTCAAAATCAAAGACACGGTTCCACTGGGGGCTTCGCAAGCCCCGCCGCAATTAATGCCACGTGGCAGAGGCAAGCGCACGTCTCCATTTCGGTACTAACTCCCAACACGCAGGAGGTTCTTATTTTTCCAGCAAAGTGGAACCAGGATTCTGGGAATGGAAGAGGCTATTCTCCTTGGTGTGCCTTCCAGGGTCAGGACGGATGGGAATGGTGATGACTGAGAAACGGGGAGCATGGGAATCGAGATAGAGGAGGAGGTTGTGGTTATCTCAAGGCTACCATCTCCAGGTGCTCAGGTAGACCAGGAGAACAGACTGGGTTGGGAAGTGAAGGGATGGGGCAAGGGAGAAGAGGAGGAGAAGCCCACGCCCCGTCTGGACCCTGGACCATGATGGGCTAGAAGGGCTACCCAGTCAGAGGGTAGGAGGCAAGTCCTTCTGCGGGGCTACTGGAAAGGAAGACGTTCCTCATTCGGGTCCAACAAGTCACTTTGCTCTTCCACTTGTGGCCGTGGCTTGTTAACTGCAAATTGGACAGAAAGAGCTATTTCGCAAGGAGACAGTTGTTTGGCTCAAAGAAGGGAAAACCCAGGCCTTGACACAGGGCATTAGAAAGAAAGCCGGGCTTTCTTCATTGTGCACATTTTTTGTAGAGCAAGGAGAATCTGATGTGTTTGTGAATGGTGTCATTACAGGCTGTAATAAATCTGGGTTCTAGTCCCCATGCAGCCATGGAGTGTACGCTTGGCTGAACCAACCTCGCAGGGTTGTTGTTGTAAGGATAAAATGGAGAGGGGCAGAACCCTGTAACCCACCTTAAGTTCCTTGCAAGAGAAAGACAGCTGTGGCGTTAATGTAATATCATGATCATCATCAACAAAAGCAACAACACACAAGCTGGGTGTATTTTTGCAATTCTGCTCTAAATAGCAACACCATATTGGGTTGTGTGATGTAACATATACAAATGCAAAGACAGCTCCCTGGGGCGGGGGAGAAAACCCTTGAGTGAAGGACACACTGATTTTCCCGCAAAGAAAATGAAAGAAGAAGTCTCTGTAAAGTGTAAGATTATATGCTTCAAAGAGAAAAGTCATAAAGCACCGGGAGCATGCGGAGGCTGTGAATGAAATAAATACTCAAGCACAAAAGCAGCACCAATATGTTCCAGTCAAGAGATTATATGTTTAAATTGAAATCTACAGCCTTTGCTGTGTAAGATGCACAGAGGGACACCAAGATATATTAATTGTATGAACTCTCTCTTAGCTAATCCTAGAATAAATTGTATTGCAGTATAATAGGGTGTAAGCCAGAAACCCACCTAGGTTATAGTGCAGCTTCTTGTTATTTATTTTATTGAATGGGTTTCTATCCTACCTTTCTTCTTTTAAATACATCAAAGTGGCTTTCATCGTTCTCTTCCTCTGCTCTCAGTCTTAACCTCAGAACAACAACCCTGTGAGGTAGGTTGGGCTGAGAGCTGATAGGCCCAAAGTCACCCAGTTGGTTCCATGGCTGAGCGGTGACTACAAGTTATACACTTTCAAGAAATCCCTGTCTAATGGAGACCCCCAGTAAAGCTTGTCTTTGGTAGCTTTGCTCAGCACTTGTAAATTCCAGGCTGTGGCTTCCCCGTCTCTATCATTCCAATTTTAGTATTGTTGTTGTTAGTCGCAAAGTCGTGCCCGACCCATCGCGACCCCATGGACAACACTCCTCCAGGCCTCCCTGTCCTCCACCATCCCCTGGAGTCCACCTAAGCTCATACCAACTGCTTCCGTGACTCCATCCAGCCGCCTCATCCTCTGCCGCCCCCTCCTTCTTTTCCCTTCAAATTTTAGTGTATGAGCTGCCAAAGCAAGCACTCCTCCTTGACGGACTTCATCCACCCCCTAGTTGGTCTTCCTGTTTATATTTGAACATAAACAAATAGCAAGGAATTTCAGGGACGGCATCAGGAAGGCGAAACAGAAAATGAACTGAGAATAGCCAGGGATGCGAAGAACAAGAACGCCTTCTTCAGATACATCCAAAACAAAAGGCACGTGAAAGAGAAAGGTGTCCAGCTACTTCCTCGTACAGTGGGTGGCAGAGTGATATTAGATGACAAAGAAATGGCAGAGGCACTCAATTCCTACTTCGCCTCAGTCTTCTCCCACAAGAAAATCTACAACCAAGAGGAAGTACAGGCTGCAAGTCAGAGATGGCAGACCGGGAGGGCAGGCAAACGGCCAAGGGCAATCTGGATGGAATGAACACATTCAGTCTCCAGGGCCCAAGGAACTCCGTCCCAGAGTCGTAAAAGAGCTAGCAGAAGAACCCTCAGAACCACTGTCTACTGTCTCAATAAATCCTGGAAAACTGGAGAAGCGCCAGATAACCGGAGAGGGGCTAACGTTGCCCCTATCGTCAGAAAGAGAAAAAAGATGAGCCCGGGAACTACAAATCACAGTCAGTCTGACATGAATCCCTGGAAAAATTCTGGAGTAAATTATTAAAATAAAAAGTCACTCTGCAAGAAAATGCAGTGATTAGTAGAAGTCAACCTGGATTTATCAAAAATAAATCCTGTCAGACTAATTTAATCTCATTTTTTGACGGGGTAACCTCCCAAATGGACAGAGGGAACACTGTGGACATAATCCACCTAGACTTTAGCAAAGCTTTTGAAATAGTGCCTCACGGCATTCTGATACGCAAATTAGCAAAAAGTGGGCTAGATAGAAAAACTAAATCCAAAACTGGTTGTTAATTCAGACACAAGGAGTGTTCATCAATGGCACCTTCTCGAACTGGATGGAGGTAACTGGCGGGGTGCCACAGGGTTCAGTCCTGGGCCCAGTGCTCTTCAACATCTGTATTAATGATTTGGATGAAGAAGTGCAAGGCAAGATAATCAAATTTGCAAATGATACAGAACTGGGTGGAATAGGCCTAAAAGACAGAATGATGATCCAGGGCAATCTTGATAAATTTGAATGCTGGGCCAAAAGCAACAGAATGAGATTCAATAGGGACAAGGGACAAGTCCTCCACCCAGGAAAGAGAAACCAAATGCACTGATACAAGATGGGAAATACGTGGCTCAACAGAACTGAAAAAGACCTTGAAATAATTGTGGACAACAGGCTAAATATGAGCCAACAATGCAATGCAGCTGCAAAAAAGGGCAAATGCTATTTTGGGATGCATTAACAGAAATATGACTTCCAAATCACAAGTAGTAGTAGTTTGTTTGTTTATTAAAAGCTTTTGTATGCCGCCCTATTATACAAGATCTCAGGACGGCTTACAATAGTAAAAAAAAAATTAAAACAACGTACACTCCTCACTAGTCAGACTTCATCTGGAACACTGTGTCTGGTTCTGGGCCCCAAGATTTAAGAAAGATGCAGAAAAATTAGAAAGGGTCCAGAGGAGGGCAACAAAATTCACATTCTCCTCCAGCACCACGTTTCAAATGCATACATTTTCTTCCTGTCAGCTTTCTTTCCTGTCTGGATCTCTCTCTCACACAGAGAGGGTGATTGAGAACGCAACAGTGTGGGGGATCTTGGCCTTGGTTTCCAGTGGAACATCCTGACACTGGACAGTATTTCCTAGTTCCTTCATTACTGCTCATCCAAATCTCACTTCTCACTGCTCTAATCTCTTGGCTGCCTTTGCGCACGTGATTGAGCTGAAGTATACAAAATCCACACTTTGTGTCTTCCCTGACCTTAAAGTTGTGAAATCCTTCTGCAGCTTACATAGTTCAGTTCTACTGGACAGTCAGGGAGGGAGGAAGGATGGATGGATGGATGGATCTCATTGTACGGAAGAAGGAAAAAGTTCAAGTCAAGCGCCATGTGGCCAGTGACCCACCAGAGGGCAGTGCAGCTCAACTCTTTTCCTGCCAGAAGTTGCATAGCTAATACCCAGTTCTACTCTAGAGGAAGAAGCCATAGAACCCCTTTCAGTCTCCAGAATAAGTTATGCAAATTATTTTAAAATGCTCCTGCATGCCCTATTCTGCAGCCTGCAACAATGATTACAAATAATTCAGATGAGGGGCTGAGAATAAGGCCTGGAGAAAGGGAAGTCTGGGGCCAGGTCGGCTGGAGGGAGTAACTTTTATTTTTGATCCCGTATGGATATTGAACCCATATGGCTACTGCACTTGTATGAGGAAGAGGAAGAGGCCATACAGGCAGGGAGCAATGTACCCTATTGCAGGTACACTGGCTAATGGGTTATGTGCCAGGAGCGGGAGGGGAGGATGGAAAGAGGGGACCACCAGCTGGGTTAAAAATACCCACAAACCAGGGTAACCATGCAAAGTTGTCTTTTATTTTATTTTATTTTTATTTTATTTTTTATTTTTATTTATATCCTGCCTTTTTCCTACAAAGGGCTCAAGGCAGCTTACATTATCTCTCCTCCTCCATCTTATCCCCACAACAACAACCCTGTGAGGTAGGTTGGGCTGAGAGACTGTGACTGGCCCAAAGTCACCCAGTTGGCTCCATGGCCAAGCGGGGACTCGAACCCAGATCCTCTGAGTCCCAGTCCCATGCTCTTAACCACTACGCCACACTGGCTCTCTTTCATATTGTGTGAACCCAGCCCTAGATTCAGAGGGAGGACTGAATCCCCCACTAGCAATTTAGAATTGCACAGGCCAACCAGAGACGCCTCAGGACATTTTTCTTATCCTGTGTTTTAGGCTGTAACATTTGTACAGCAGGAGGGAATCCTTCAGGGCAAACCTGCCCACACCCTTCTCTGCCTGCCTACCTGGACTGAGTTGCATGTTTGCAGCATGGGAGTTGTTTTATTTCAGGTTAGGGTTTAAACTGCACACCTTCATAAGCTGAAAGTAGAATCAGATACACCAGAACGAAAAAGCAAGCTGCTGCTTGAACCATGGAGGACCAAAGCGCTGGACAGTCATATATATGCCCGCATGCAAGTTGTGAAGCAAGGAGAAAGACACCCACCCACCCACCCACCCAAAAGGGAGAGACCCCTGTGATTTCCCGTTAAAACAGCCCCCTTATCTTCTAGGCCAAAGAGCTGTCCCTGCGTTTTTGAAAGCATTTGAAAATACATTCAAACCTGAGACCCTCTCCCCTCCCCAAATTGGGGCAATTTCTTTGAACCCTGTGTTGGTGGTCTTTGTGCAGCCCTGCAAACATTGGCCCTGCTTGCATCGGGCTTGGAAACGGTGATCTTGTCTGCATCCTTTCTGGAAACAGGTCGGTTGTCTCCGTCCAGCCTGGAACGGTTCGGCTCCTCCACAGCACTGGCAGGCTTCGCAAGACTATACATCATGTAGTTCTGCATAGCCTGCTGTCCCAGAGCAAGCAAAGGTGGGATCAGTGTATTTAGCACAAGCTCGACGGAAGACTTCTTATTTTCCTTGAGGGATCGGATTTCATTTTCCATTGCTCTGGCCTTCTCCTGAAATCCTTCTTTTAACAGTTGCTCTTGTTCCTGGAAAAGGAAAGGGACACAAACAAAAAGACTATTTGTTGGAGGGGACAGGTGCAGAGGGAGAAAACAACTACAAGCATACGGCTTGAGACCAGGATGATTTCCTAGGATGATTTCCGTGTAGGACAGGGTAAAAATATTTTGAATAAATAAATAAAAATAAGATGGATTCAAGCCACATCATCAGCTTGGCCAACTAGACACAAAAATGCATTTTTTGGCATGTGGGTGACTGAAAGAGAAAGATGCTCTCTTCTGCCTAGAGCTGCCGCCTCAAGGTTTATTGTCACTAACAGCACTATGAAATATCGTTTCCTTTTAAAATCTATATACAGCACCCTGGGTGCAGCTTTGACAGTGGAAACAGTGGGGTGTCAACTTCCAAAGCAAGCAGGACCATCTCATGTCCCATTTACTGATCCCTCCAGTTCTGCTGTTTTAAGAAGCATGTTTCTGCAACTCAGCTTTCCAGTTTTGTGGCCTGGACTGAGAGAGCCATGAGTGGGAGGGAGCCACAGACAAGGATTCGGGGGAATCAGGGATGGCTGTCTGAGGGCAGGTTTGGCTCAGGGGGCCGAAGATTGATGGACTGATTGATTGATTTAAAACTTTTATATGCTGTCCCAATACTAGAAGTTTCTGAAGGCTTACAAACACCAGAAAACCAAAAAATGACGACATGTGTTTGAACATGCAAACATCGGGCTGAGCACCCCTTACCTTGAGCTTGTGCTGGATCATCCTCTCGGTCTCCTCTTGCATCCTCTCCTTCTCCTCCCCCATCTTCTCCTTCAGCAGCTGCAGCTGCTCCTCATGGCTTCGCTTCTGGTCATCCAGCATTTGGGTCAGCCTGGCCTGTTCCTGCTCCAGGAGCTTCTGCTGAAGTATGGCTGCTTCGGACTGAGCGCGCTGGGCTGGTGCAGAGGAGAAAGAGGCAGGGTGAATGCGGGCAGTCAGAACTCTCGTTCCACACGTGTGATTTATAGCACCTGAAAATGATCGCTCAGCCCGGCAGGCGCAACAAAGAGAGCTGGGTTGTCGCAAGGATGAGTAAAGGATTTAAAAGATTCCTTTTTCATTATTCTAAGACCCATGATTCTGGTAGATGGACATGCCCCTTTCCCTGCAAGAAAACACTTGCATGCATCGAGAAACAACATATAGCCAATTCTTCTTTGGACTTTATTAAATCCCTCCAGGAAGGAATGCTATTTCATCAACTTGTTCTTTAAATATAGCTCATTAGCGAAAATCATTATACTCCGCCTAAAGAAAGCAGATGGGACCTATGTCTGAGAAAGGTACATAATTTAGGAAAACTTATTTTAAAAAAGGAAAGAAATGGGTAAAGATGACCTCTGCTCCTGACTAAAGTCACATCTGAGAAAACCTCAGCATTTTAAAGTTACCTCTGAGGATGGATATCCATGCTTTTCTCTGAAATTTTATATTAATAACTAAATAAGAATATAATTGATGTGGGTTAGTTTTAATACTGCTGTGATTATTATTAATAATTAATATAACATAATAATCGTTGTTGCTGCGCCATAGGTTAATTTGATTAGAGTTGCTGCCATTGTTGATCCTGTTATCTTGGTTTTATCTTTTACTGTTTTATCTAATTATGATTATCTTAATAATTGTTTAATTCTTTAAATTTGTAAACTGGCCAGAGAGTCTGTGGGCTACGGAGCGGGATAGAAGTGCAATAAACAAGCAAGCAAACATATCAGCCTGTTTGACCAGATCTGCACCTTCGATTTCCTTCTCCCTGTCGGTCAGGGCTTTGTCCATCGTAAGAATAGTCTTTGACACCGTTGCCTTGGATTTCCGGAACTCTTCAAGAGCCTTGTCAGCCTGATAAGGAATTGGGAGCAATGGTTAGGGGTGGAAAACGGGGAAAGCAACCCTGATTCCATGTTGGAATGAAGAACAACACGCAGTCAGTCCCGGGGGTTTGCAGGGGTGCTGAGAAATGGATGCGCACGATCCCAAGCGCCTCTCCTAGAGGAAATGCCTCTTAAACCAGGTTAAGCAGGGCAATCCTTTGCATATTTTCTCAAACTTAAGTCCCGCCAAGCTCAGTGTTGCTGATAAACTGCTGGGCACGGCCCTACCTGAACCCCTTTGCCAGGCACCAGGAGGTATTTCTCTTCGATTCCATGCAGTTTCTCCAGAAAAAGTTTGTAGCCACCAGACACAGAGTAGACTCCCATTTGGATCCCAACTTCCAACTCCTGGGCAAGATCCTTAAGCACAGCAGAGCAGTGGCTTAATGACTCCTGCTCGTTCCGCTTGCAGAATTCCTCCTTTTTCTGAATCAGCTTATGCTGCCCAAGCAAAACAAGAGGAAACGTCAGAATTACACTGTGTTAACAATGGCAAAAAGTCTTCCTCGCTGGTAGAGTTGTACAAGTGGGGAAACCCTCCAAATCCAGAGTTTGGCAATACCTTAGCCCAACGATTTTATTTTTTTAAACCCATGAAACAAAATAATCCATGTTTTTGTAAGTCACAGAAAGGCATGCTAAAATGACATCCAACCTACAGCGCAAATTTCAACTGGACTGAAATTGACTTAAGTGTCTGCTTCCACACGTGTGACTTGTGGGCTCTGCAAACTTTGTGCGAACAAAGAATTACGTGCATTACATGTTTCGTGCAAAGTAGCTGCTAGCATTTCTAAGCTGTAGACCAGATCTTGGCTTGGCTCACTTCCCAGTCAGGGCCAAGCGTGAGCAAGAAGTCCAGCGAACGCAAGGGAGCCAGATTCTGGCATGGCCTTCACATCCCCAGACAATGCCTTTGCACCTTTCCTGCCACATTCCAATCCCTCTCCATCTAGTTCACATTCCCAGTCTGAGCTTTCTAACTGGAAATGCTGCATTTGGATGTGGCACTAAGTCTTCCACGACTGCCTCCTTATTCAGTTTATGTCCTTCAATGGTTCATTTTTTTCTCCTCCTCCTCCTGACTGTGTTTTCCTTGAATTTAAAGTTGATCCACAGGCATTGCAAAAAGAGATTTTCTTTGGGAAACTCTGACTTCCAGTTGAAAGGAGCTAACCACTAGGCAAGACTTCCTGCTTGATTTTGCCTCTTTGCCTAGGAATACTGAACTGACTTTTGTCAAAGAAAGCTTGCATTTTGTTCCTTTTTATGACGTTTGCCACTTTGCCCATTTTCAGAAGGTTCCTCCTATTTAATGTTAAATACCACTGTAAACTCTGATTTCCAATTCCAGCTTTACTTTTTCTTTACCGCTGTGCATTGTGGGTTTTTCATCTGCCTACTGAGGTCACTGCTGATCTGCTCTCCAGAAAATATTGGGGTTCTTTTCAAAGGTGGGTAAAATAGTATTTATTATAATGGACAATATAAATACCGTCACTATTAACACAAGTATCTATAAGCAATAAAGCTGCCCTGGAGACTGATTTCTGTATATTTTGACACTTCGGAGAGTCTCTTTAAGAACAGGTGATCAGACAGGGAGCAAAGAGGTTCAAAAGGAAACATACCACAAGTTCTGCTTGAAATTTCTGAATGCTTTCCCCAAATGCACGGGCCAGGAATGCCGCCATCACCTCTCTCTCACACTCAGTGTGCACCCGGAGCAACGCCTCGATCGTGTCCGTGGGCAGCTCCAGCCGCTGCGCCATGCGCTCTTCGTAGCGGGAGAGGGCCTCGCGCACAGCAGCTGTGTTCTCCCTCTCGGCCAGGGCCAGGACGGCGTTCTCCAAGCAGGGCACCTCACCGCTGTTGATCGCATCGATGTAGGTGTGCATCAGGTGCGTAAGCACTGGAAAAACAGGATCCGGGAATCAAACACGGTTAATTAGTCCCCCCAAGCAAAGAGTCAATGCTTCGGTGGACCCCAGACACCCTTAAGTGTATGTCCATGTTAGCAGGAGAGTCCAGGCCACGCATGTGGTGCATCTGTGGATGTTGCAGACGGGGACACAATCGAACGGCTTCCCCATGATGCAGCCTGGGGGAACCCACGTGTCTGTTGGTGTTCAGAAGCGAGGCGCCAGCGCTCGGGCGGGAGAGAGGAGCCCGCCAGGCCTCGAGCCCCCAGCGCTGCAGGAACTGCTCTTACTCGCTCCGGTCACGGTCTGGCCCCCGGGGATCGTCTTGGGGCGGGATCCTTCCCAGATGTATCGGCAGAAACGCTCCGCGGACTGCAAGAAGTCCTCCTCCAGCTCCTCGTCGTCCAGCTCCTCCAGCCGGGCCAGCTTCTTCTTGCTGGCGGGACGGTCGAACGTGAAGCACTTCCGCGAAGGGAAGAACTGGCGGATGCAGAGGCGCGGCATGTTGCACTTCCGGACCTGCTCCGTGTCGCCTGGGCGAGAAAGGGGCACACGGCGGATGACGGGCTGCGCGGTGATGGTGACAGCCCCCCCCCCCCAAACTGCATTTTCCGGCTAGGGCATCGCATGAACTAAAGGCATTCAAAATGGTCCACAGCACACTAACTGAGCACGAAACCACACATCACACAGAATAAAAACAGCTTGAATGTGGCACATTTGAAGTACTCGGCACATCAGAGGGCTCGGCCTGCCATCAAAGTGGTGCCTGGTGAGCCTCCCTGGGGAGGGCTTTCCGCAGCCAGGGGGCCACCACTGGAAAGATCCCGTCGTCCGTAGCCCCTTGCTGCACTTCACTTGGTAGGGACACTCGGCGCTGGAAGGGCTCAGGGTTCAGGAGAAGGAAGGAGCTACTCTGAAGCAGGCCAGGGGGACAATCTGCCTCCTCCGTCATAAGGGATGCAGGGTATTTCGTAGCTACCTCGCTGCAATTTTAAGGCGCTCTCCAAGTAGTCATCCTCGCTGGCAGGCCGTCCGTCGATCTCCAGCTGCAGCGTGAAATCCCGTACAGCCCAGATGAAGGCTGGGAAGAAGCGGACAAATTCTGCAGAATTCTCCTCCTCTGCGTGATTCTCAGAGGACGCCTTGGCTCTAATCTTCTTTGTCAGCTCCGTCACATACCTGGGATTTGCTTAGAAAAGGTATTCCAGCACTGTTGTTGGGCTTTGCAATCTGACCGTCGCAAAGGTCATGCACGTGCTCGGACCGTTTTGCACCCTTGGCCTGGTTGGGGCAACAAGGCCGCCCTTGAGCATGCGCAGAGGGCACTTTCCCTGCAGCAGCCAAAAGCAGCCACTTGGCCGGTCTTTCTGACCCAAGGCCTTCTTCGCACGGTGGCCCTAAACCGTGCACAGGGCGCTCCCCCTACACGGAGCCCCGTCCCACGGCCGCCTGCCCCCTGGGCCCACACAGGCTCCTGCACCAGCCCCTCCCCGCACAGCCCCAGACCTGTCCGCCACCCGGCCCCCGGAGCGGCCTCGGCCCCCCCCACCGCCCTGGCGCCCCAGGATACTGCAGCTTCTCCAGGGCGTGCTGGTCGATGGTGCCCATGCTGTTGTACACCAGCGTGCTGCTCAGCAGGATGGCCAGCGCGAAGATCCACGCGTCGTTCTCCGTGTTGCCCTGCGAGGAAGGAAGGAAGGCAGGCAGGCGTCTCCTCGGGCCTCGCGTCCCCCGCCCCCAACACGGGGGGCTGCCCCACTGAGCGCAGGCTGTGGGAGCTGAGGCCGCTGAGCCCGTTTCGGGAGGGACTGGAGGAGCGGAGGGCCACGTGCGCTCCGCCCCAGCCGGCAAGCGGGGCCCCCGCAGGTCGTGGCTTCCCCGGCCGGCCCCCCCTCGCCCTGCCGCCCTCCCCCCGCTCACCTTCTGCACGTCGCCCAGTCCCTCCGTGTCCAGCAGCACCAGCGTGTGGTCAGGCCTGCAGGGGTGCGGCCGGCACCACATCCAGATGCCCCTGGTCAGCGCCTGCACCGTGGCCCCCAAGCGGAAGCCTGGGGAGCAACACACGGGGCGTCAGGCCGGGCCACACACGGGCCCGGCTGGGCCCCAGGGCCGCTCCCGGCTCCTCGGGGTCCCTCCCGCCCACCTCCCGCCGCCTGGCAGCAGCGCCAAACTGAGTGGGGAAGGAAGCAAGGCAGAACCGGCTCGTTTTGCTGGGCCCACGGTGAGCCATGCGGAATCTGCATCCGACCCAGTGGGGCTTGCTTCCGAGGAACCCTGCTGGGATGAGGGTGCCAGCCACGGCCGGGCGGCTTGCTGCTCTCTGGAGGTGCTGGCCAGCAAGGCCAAGGCTGAGGGCTTGTGAGATGCACGCCCGGCATCTGGGGAGCTGCCGGTTGCCCCCCCCCGCCCGAAGGGACAAGCCTCTGCCTTGGCTTAGGCTCCCGGGCCGCCCCCAAGCCAAGCAGGCCCTTGCCAATCCTGGAGGAAAAGCAGCCAAGCCCAACGCACTCGGCTCGCTTGTGCTGAGCCGCTGCTGCTCCTGCCTAGCCTTTGGCCTCTGCTGCACTTCACTCTGCAAGCCGCTCGGGGCTGAGGCCTTTCATCCGGAGGGCGCACTCCATAACGCGGCAGGTAAAGCTGTGGGCTCTGTGCACACCTTGCGCTCATTCTGACACGCTCTTCCCCGTGCCTCCCCCCAGCCCGGCCAGAAGAGCCCAGGGGCGGCCCCGGCCCCGGCCCCAGCTCTCCCCAGCCGCCCCCAGCAGCTGCCCCACCCTCCCCTTCCGCCACCGGTGGCCTTTCTGCAGCCGCTCACCTCTGCTCTGGCCTGCGAGCCTGTTCATGAGGTAGGACTTGCCCGTGCGGTACAGCCCCACAACGGCCACCACCACCACCGGCTGGTGGATCGCCGCCAGCACCCTCGCGGCCTCCTGGTTGACCACAAGCGTCCCGTCAGGCCTGTTCTCGATCAGACAGGCGGGGGCTGCCATGCAGGTGCGTTCTGGAGGCATCGTGCCCAGGCCAGGAGTGGGTCTTCGGGGCAGGAGCGGCCGAGCCTCTTGCTAAGGCGGAAACTGGGCGCCTGGGGAGAAACCGCGAAAGCGAGGGGGGGTGAGAGCTGCTCGGCAGTCCAAACGCCTCTTTCCGAACTCGGTTGTGTGAACGACACTTGCTCCCAGGTCAGTGTGCAGGGGACTGCAGCCTTCGGAAAGACACAATTACTGGAAGCACAGCTCACCGCAGTGCCGGTCGGTTTCCTTCACAGGCAAAAGGCGGGAAGTGAAAGGGAAAGAGCCCCTTGTTCAAGCCCCACACGGAGAAGGTCTCGCAGGCCAGCCGAAGCTCAGCGGATTCTTTCTGATGAGCCGGGGAGGCTGCTCTGTGGCCCGAGCCCCACGGAGGCCCCCCGTCCGCGCCCCTCCCGTCCTGGGCACCTGCTGAAATCCCAGCCCGGGACCCCGCTGCACCCGAGCCCTGGCTGGGCCGGCTCCGTCCCTCAGGGCCCCCCTCCTGCCCCCGCCCGACGCCTTTTCCCCTCAACTCAAACGCCCCGCTCCCCCCTCTGCGCGCATCTCTTCCTTCCTCTGGATCCCAGCGCACCCGGAGCTGCCCAGCGGCGCTTCCCACTCCCGCCTCGGGTCGGCCCGGTGCCTCGCCTGCTCCTGCTGGGGCCGCGCCGGCCAGGCTCCCCGCCCGCGCCCCCCACCTGCCCGCCCGCCTGCCCGCCAGAGGAACACCTGCCTCCGCGTCCGGGGAGAGCCTCAGAGAGAGTCGGGCTGAGGGCTGAAGGCTCCGGTGCGAAGGATCGCCTCGCCTCGCCTCGCCGGCAAAAGAATCGGCTCCCTGCGCGAGCGAGGAGCGCACGGAAGGGGCGCTGTAGCAGCGGAGTGCAAGGCGCTGCAGGAGCGAAAGTGAAACCGCCGGGCGGACGGGCGGGCGGCGTTCCGGGAAACCAGCTCTTTCGGGGAAGGCTAAATGCGGGCCGTTCCGCCGCGTATCCCTCTCCACCCAAGCCGGGAACGCGAGCACTTCGTGGAGGACGCGTTTTCTTTTGCAGGGTGTTGGAAACGCCCCGTCCTTTCCCTTCTAGCTCTTCACCGAACTCGCGCTGAGAAGCTGCCCAGCAAACAGTGTCACGGATAGTAGCCGGCAAAGCCGCCCGTTCCCACTGGGCCTCTCGAACCTGGGGATTCCCTTTTCTTAGGTTAGGGAGGGAACATTTAGGAATCGCTCAAAAGAAAAGGCAGTCTCCCCACCCCAGAATTAATCCGCATATCCTTTGCAGATATGCTAATTTTTTCGAGCCCGAGTCCGGAGGGAGCTCAGCTTTTCTCCGGCCGCGCGTCCTGCGAGGGAAAGTGCGACGCGCAAGCCTTCCCGCCTCGCCTCGCCTCCTCGCCTCGCCTCCTGTGCTGCGCCGCTGCGGCTCGTTCTGCGCGGAAACCGGAAGTCCTTAAGCCTCGCCTACGCGGGACAGGTGCAAACGGTCGAGTTTTGCGCAGGGCCGCCCCATCGCTGCCCGAGAAAGGATCGGGCTTAAGGGAACCGCTGCAAAAGACGCGGGAGCCTCGCCTCGCCCGGACGGACGGACGGGGCGCAAAGGGGCGGCCGCAGTCAGGCGGAGTGCAAGGCGCTGCAGGAGCGAAAGCGAAACCGCCGGGCGGCTCGGCGTTCCGGGAAACCGGCTCTTTTCGGGGAAGGCTGAATACGGGCCTCCGCCCGAGGCAGGAATGCGAGCAGCGCTTCCTTTTCCATGGGGTGGGGGACGTGCGTGCTTGTTTATTTTTACCGTTTCATTGTCGTCGGTTGGAAAGAGGCTTGCAACTTTGGTTGTCCCAGAAGACGGTTTTGCTGCTGCGCAGACTCTTGGTGCTGGAAGGGTTCCCTCTGCAGGCAGTGAGAGGGAGGCCAGAACTAGAATCTAGGGCTCCCTGCTGTGCCAAACTCTCTTTTAATGTCATCAGTGGGTACAGTTTTGGCATCTCTGCTGACGTGCTCCACCCTCTGCAATACAAAGAGGTGTAATTCTCACTTTGCAAAGCAGTAAGACCCAGGATTTTTTTTTATTTTTGGTTTTGCTTTTGTAAAAAGCTGCTTCATGCAAAACAGAAATATGCCAACCACTTCAACCCAGAGGTGTGTGATTCAGAGCCAAACCTTAACACCGTACACACACACACACGCACAGATCCTGATTCCATGGCCACATGTGTGACTTCAATCATCTAAGGCCTCGCCCACCTGTTCCTTTCGCCTGTCCAGACCCACCGTCCTGGTCAGGGTCAGTCTGGTAAGACTGAATCGGACTCTGCAGCTGCATCCTCGCAGCAGCTTTCTTCACGGCAACCTGGGCGCCAAGTGGAGCGAAAAATGATGCGACATGATTAAATCCGTTGTGGCACCCCAGCTCCATCGCCAGGCACTTTGGCAGGCGGGATGAGGCTCCTGAAAAAGGGCCGAATGCGGGCCGTGCCAAAGAGCATGAGGGCAAACAGAGCAAAGATGACCAGGCCAGAAAGGGGACGTGCATGACCCTGCCCCTTTTTGTGAGTTAAGGGTCGCTCTCACCTCCGCTCTCCCTTTTGAGGAGAGACTTGAGTTCTCTGAAGGGGTTATTCAAGCTGGTTGGTATAAAAGCCCCTCTCCATACCATCCATGGTGTACTCTACCATCACAGCAGAGTGGAGATGAAATTGTTGGTTATGTGGTTTCTAGTCCTCAGTGAACAAGCCAAGTCTCCCCAGCTGGAATGGTCAGTACTGGGGGGGGGGGGGGGGTGGTCCTTAGGGTACCTGGATCCTGAGCTACTTTGGTGTTAGGTACAATAGCACTAACACCCTGAATTGGGACCTGTAGCTTACTGGACATCACCCTGCCGGTAAAAGTGCGTATAGCCAAGGCGATGGTTTTCCCAGTTGCAATATATGGCTATGAAAGTTGGGCCATAAGGAAGGCTGAGCATCGAAGGATTGAGGCCTTTGAATTGTGGTGATGGTGGAGACTCCTGCAAGTCCCTTGGACCACAAGGCAATCAAACTAGTCAGCCCTAGAGATCAACCCTGACTGCTCTTTAGAAGGCCAGATACTGAAGATCTCAAATACTTTGGCCACCCGATGAGAAGGAAGGACTCCTTGGAGAAGAGCCTAATGCTGGGAACAATAGATGGCAAGAGAAGGAGGGGGCGGCAGAGGATGAGGTGGCTGGATGGAGTCACTGAAGCAGTGGGTGTGAGCTTGGGTGGACTCCGGGGGACGGTGGAGGACAGGAGGGCCTGGAGGAGTGTTGTCCATGGGGTCGCGACGGGTCAGACATGACTTCGCGACTAACAACAACAACAACAGCTGACTGGTAGCAAATGCGGGGATTTCAAAATCAGCACGATGGGTTCAGACTGCTTTGCTCCCATCAACACACGGGCAGGAGCTGTGTGTGTGTTGCCAACACACTGCTGAACTTGTGGTGTGATTGTTGATCCTGCTGTTGGAGGAAACTGCAAGAAGAGCTGGAGTTCACAGCTACACGTTTGCCATTCTCAATTGTTTCGTTGGTGAAAATGTTTGGATTTTTATACGATTGTAGGGCAATTGTAAAATAAAATTGTATTTTATTGTATTGTTGGTATACACTGTTGCAAGTCAGCCAGAGAGCTTTGGCAGTCGAAGCTGTAGAAGCTAAGCAAAGAAAGAGAAAGTTGTTGGCTAAGAAGTAGTTTTTTTGCAAAATGGTGTAGTTGGCTGTAAAAGAGAATATCCAGGTAATAGAAATGTTGCAGATACTGGGCAAGAGTCTTCTTTTGCTGTTCTTCTCTCTTTCTTTATGAAATTAATTCACTTCCTGACAGTCAGGACCCCGAGGGTGTGGAATGGGCTTCCACAAGAGGTTGTTGAGGCCCCATCGGTGCGGGTGCTCAAGGACAGGCTGGACGTGCACATGGTGGGCATGTCGTGAGCGGAGCCGGCTGGAGCCGGGGGTCAGACTAGATGGCCCGGGAGACCCCTTCTGACTCGCTCTGTTTCTATGTTTCTAATTCCATTCTGTGGTGTGTCATTTGTATCTTGTTTCTCAACATGAAGTTTGCATGTGATTGACATGCCTAGGAAATGAAGGGGCTTATCTCCAACTGTTGGTTTTGTTTAGCAGCATCAAGCCAAATGTCCTGCCTGGTCCGAAAGACGAACTTTACACATGACATTTTTAGGTGTATACAAGAAATTGGAATTAACACAAAGGCAGCAATCCCTTCCTGTGTGTATTTATATATTTGTTGTGTTTGTTTGCTGCCCTATAGCCTGAGGGCTCTCTGGGCAGCTTACAAGAAACAACAACAACATAATGCAAATATAATAAAACAGTGACATCTAAAAATCACATCAAATCCAACTAATATAAATTGCAAAACCAGGAAGATAATAAACAGCAATATAAGAAACAACACAACCAGCAGCAAAAACCAAATAAAAGCATGATTCTAAAAACAATAAATAAAAAGCTTTTACCTGGCAGCAAAATCAGAGTAATGAGGGTGCCAGTGGCACCTCTTTCGGAAGAGAGTTCCAAAGATGAGAAAGCCCTTTCTCTAGCTAATTCCTCCCTCCCTTCATTTGGGGGGTGATTCAGGAAGGGGCCCCCCGGTTGAACATCTGAGCAGTCTGGCAGGAAGATAGGGAGACAGGTTTTCCTTTAGACATCCTGGTCCCAAGCTGTTTAATGCTTTATGTGTTAGTGTGAGTGCTTTGAATTGGGCCCGGGCAGTAGCAGGTGGCCAGTGCAGTTAGCCTGATAGGACCTTTAGGGCCAGTCCTTGTTAATAACCGCGCTGCTTGGTTTTGAATCAGGTGACGTGCAGACCATCTTCAGAGGCAGCCGCAGGGGCGATTCTTCAGGCTAGCAAGTCAGGTGGAAAATTATAAGGACTAATTTAAGCCAGCTAAAAAGGAAGAAGTTGAAGAGGCCAAGGACATTAGCTGCATGGCTTTAAATAAGAGGGTGGGCACTTCAACAAGAGCTTCTCAACCAAAATGTGTGCTAGGAAGATGCTCGGATGTGTGCAAACATTCCATGCATATATTCTTTTCTTTAAGAGCCGTAATGTATGTCCTAAGCCATTTATACTTGTTTTTTATTATGATTTAATGAATTTTAGGAAGATTTATGTGGAGAATGTCTCTTAAATGTTAGCTCTATAAGAAAATGTACACTCTGTTACTGTATATGTTTTTACTATGTTTTATATTGTACACTGCCCACAGAGCTATATGGGCTAATGGTCTGTTTATAAATGTAGCAGCACCAGCAACAATAATAATAATGGTAATGATAATAATGATAATATAATACTGCGTTGTGAGCATTGACAGTACAGGGAAAAAGAAGGGCAAGAAACACATTCCTGTCTCTACCACTTCCTTAATTTGTCAGATAACTTCCTAACATGACGGCGGCCCTTGCTTGGCAGCAAAAGTGATCCAAGATCTACTATAGCCCCCAGTGCAGTGCCAAACCAAGACGGCGCCTTGCGCTCTTCATTCTCTTTCTGCAGCTGCCTCAACTCTTTCTGCAGCTGGTCAGCTTCCTCCTGGAATCCCTCCTTTAGGAAAGCCTCTTGCTCCTGGAAGGAGAGAAGCTGTTACGGTTGCTGAATCAAGCGCAAAGCTGGGCTGTTTGGCATACGTTGCACTCAAGAGCATTGCCAGTGAGGAAGGTGCCCGAGTCCTGCCAGGGGCTCCCACAGCACCCAAAGATTAGAAATGTGTGTGTGGGGGGGGGGCACAGAAATACTCCCACTGGCCTTTTTCTCATGTGCTTGCTGGAAAGGTAATTTCTGCAGCAAGAGGCCTGCTCGACTTGGGTGAGAAACCGATTTCCAGAAGTGGGAGCCACCCGTGCATATTCCGTCTTACCAGGAATGACGGCTTGGTTTATTAGCCCATTCAGAAACTTGCTTGGAACACGCACGGCCTCTCCTGTCTTAGACGTGACAGAGCAACAGAGGCCTTGTGGGAGCTCCCAGTGGCTTCATGTAGATGCGAAGCACCCCTGGGGAGACAAAGTCCTCATGGGATTTAGAAATGGGCATCAGTGGGGAAGACTCCCTTCCACCAAAGGTGCGTGGAGTGGGGTGGAACTGGGAGAGAGGAACGCAGGCGGGGGCCACTGCCAATGGATGATCTAATCGCACCGGGGATGCAGAAGGAATGCAAGATGGGAAGGGAAGGTAAATCCAACCTGCAAACCCAGCCCTCGGCTCCTTTTGGGGCTCTTCCGACATGCAGGAAAGGGAAGCCTTCTTTCTCCGTGTGCCACAAAAAGATATTCACCTCCATAATGACACTGATGACGGAAGTCCCAACGCAAAGAAGGCATCCAGCTCCTTGCACACCAAATCCTAGATCCCAAGTTGGACCAGCAGCTTGGGAAGTGCTGCTTATTAAGCAGGGCTGGTTGTGGCTTTAATAATCGTGACTGAACCTGGAAACCTAGTTGCCCAGCACTCCAGGAGACATTTTAGAGTGCAGTGTCTGTCCCTGCAACCGAAAAGCTTCCTTGCACAGCGGGGCGTGACCAGGTTGACTTACAGCTCACCTCCCTTCACCTCGCAGGTATGCCTGACCTGGAATGGAGTCTCCAATTAAGTACCGACCCTGGGATTGTGTGCAGCAAGAGTCATCAAGAGCCAGCTTCCCCTAGCATAGCTCCCTATTTTTAGCAGTGATACCCCACTTCTCGTAAAACGAGACGAGCCCCAGCTGGGCCAGGGAGAGTTACCCTGAGTTTGCTATCCATCATCTTCTGCTGCTCTTCCAAAAGCGTCTTCCTTTCGCTCTCCATCTTCTCCTGCAGCTCCTTGATGTGCATATTGTGACTCCGCTGCTCATCTAGCAGCTTCTCTTGGAGTACAGCTTCCTGCTGCTTCTGCAGCTCCAGCTGGAGCTCTGCCGCCTTTGCCTGTGCCTTTGCCTCTGGCCGAGAGAGATGGGGAGAGAGACAGAGAATGCTCGGATGGCTGCGTCATGGCTGTGGAGGAGGCTGGGGCTGGAGCAAGAGAGGGCTACGGGGCCGGCGAGGTTCTTGGCGCTCCCTGGTGGGCAGTGGCCAAGGGTGCCAGCAACATCTTCAGACAGGGAAATCACAACAAACTGGCCTGAACTGGGTGAATATTAAACACGGCCACCAACACGCACCACGCACCATTCCTGGTTTAAATAAGCCATGTTGGGCTGCAGAGATCATGCCAACCAGGCCCATTCCTGTGTCCTTGGCAGCATGCAAAACCATTCTGACGTGACGTCTCTGAGGAGACATCCTCGTCGTTACGTGGTTGCATGCAACGCGTTGTTCACGCTTCCTCTGATATTCTTTTACTACAATTTTAAGCTCATGGTCCTGGGGGTGAAAAGCAGCAGCAATGTCCTCACAGGTACCCTTGCAAAGCCTTACCTGCGATGTCCTTCTCTTTCTTCTCAAGGGCTTCGTCGCTTAGCAGGATGGATTTGCCTACGCTCTCCTTGCCCTGGAGGAACTGCTGCAGAACGGCCTTGGCCTGCAGAAAGATGCCTCAATGGTCAACAGACTCAGAAATGAGTGAGAAAAGATTTCACCAGGCTGGCCAGCCGAAATACTTAAGCTAAGGGCCTTTTGTACTGCTGCTCCCTTTCTCTGGAAATCCCTCCCCGGGCAAATTCACCTGGCGATGTCTTTATTTTCTTCTCGGTGCCAGGCAAAGACCTAATTTTTTTAAAAAATTAATACTTAGCCCTTGGGAATGCTGGTGGCCTTGTTATATCGCTTGTTGTATTGCTGTTTTATTCCATTTTAATAGGTTTTAAGATGTTGTTAGGACTGTCTAGGAAGGCCATTGTGGCAGTTATAGGCAGCATATAAATATGTGGCTAAACGAATAAGGCAATCGGCTGTCAGGCTGGTTAACTGGGTATGACCCCTTTTTCTACTAGGCAGAAGACAAACTTCATATATCGGCACGGGAAACCCTCCTGTTCACCCCACTGTTCCTATTCCTGGGCCTCTGCCGTCCAGTCAGCCAAGCTCCACGGCATACTATGCACATGATTAATCCAGTGGCTCTTTTGAACGTCACGGATCTGACCCCGCATCATAACAATGGCCCCAGCTTTTTCTCACCATCACTCCTTTGTTAGGTGTCTGGTGGTAACTTTCTTCCACTTTGTCCAGGTCGTTCAGGAAACGCTCGTGGCTGCCAGGCTGGGAGTACGTTCCCTTTCTGATGTTGCCTTCCAGCTCCTGAGACAGCGACCTCAGCAGCGCCCAGCAGCGTTCAGAAGAGGCCTCCTCATTCTTAAAGCAGTAGTCCTCCTTCTTCTCCGCCAGGGTTTGCTGGCAAGACAGGACACACGAATCGCATCTGAGGCACCGCTCAAGCTGATTCTCAGCCGAGAGAACGCTTCCTCTGTGTCAGGAGGACTTCTGGCTGAGCCACGATATAAAGTTGTATAGTTATAAAGCTGAAGTACTGTGTACTTCTCTCTCTCATTTTTGTCCTGCAACCTGTTCACAGGACCACTTATCCATGGAGAATGAGTCAACAGCAACCTCTGATGTTTTTACTATGGAGGTAGAACCTACCAGGTGAGCTCCAGGACCTTGGTGGGGTCAGCCAAGGAGGGTTAGGCTGCTGGGCACACCTGGGCCCCCCCCGCCGTACTGGACCAGCTACAGAGGCAACCTTTGCACCCATCAGCAGGAGCAGGTGGGGCGCGCTAGGGAGAGATTGTGGGCTTGGGTGCAAGGGGCTCAGCTTGCCAATTCCAAGAAGCAGGGAGGGTCCGGCGGGAGTCACATGGGGGTGTTTCTGGGCAGGACTGAGAGGAAGGAAAAGGACTGGCCACCCCGGAGGAGCCATCACTGTTCCTGGGCTGTGCTTGGAGAAGGAGGTGCCTGTAATCTCTCCAGAGACCCCGTGTGTTTTCTCCCTTGTTTAATGGTTAACTAAACATTTCAATGTGTATATAAAGAAACACACTGTGGACACTGTAATCCACTGCAATTATGATATGGAGCTGTAATTCCTTCTGCAGCCCCAGAATTCTGCATCATAGTCCTCACGCGGCCCTCGAGAAAGAAAAGATGACCAGCCTGGGCTGCAGATATTCATACAGAGTTTATGGCAGTCTGTGCATTTGTAAGGGCAGGTTGTTCGTAACCCGGAAATTCATAATCTGAACTGAAAGCTCAAGGGGCAACCTACCTTGAGCTCGACCTGGAACTGGCGTGTGTCGTCTTTGAAGGCTCGAGCCATGAACACCCGGAGGGCCTCCTCCTCGCACCCGGCATGGATCTCTAGCAGCTCCTCCAGCGTCTCTGTGGGCAGTTTCAGCCTTTGCTCCATCAGCTCCACGTAGCGGGCCGTAGCATCGGCCACCGCAGCCGAGTTCTCGATCTCAGCCAAGGCCAGCACTGCATTCTCTATGCAAGGCACTTTCCCACTGCGGAGCGTGTCCACGTAGGTCTCCGCCAGCATCGCCAGCACTACGGGGAGACAAGCGCTATACTTATCCGGGGGCACACACAGCTTCCTGGATTTATGCGAACGCAGGGCAGGGCAGAATCAAGTGTTCAGGGCTTTCCCTAAAAGAAGGCTCGAACCTTGGGGAGCAGGTGCTTTTTTGACCAGTGCCAGAATGGTCCGGAAAGAGGGATTTATGGCCTGAGCTTAGCCACAAATCCTTGTGCAGAAGAGCTTCAACCTGTCTGGAAATGAGAGGATGGGAGGAGGCAGAGAAAAAGGAAAGATCCAAGAATGCATTCTTGGGAAATTGACAGGGAATTTAGTACAGTAGTTAGAGTGTTGGACTGGGACTTGGGAAATCCAAGCGCTAGTTCAGTGGCCATGAAGCCCTCTGGGTGGCTTTGGGCCAGTCACTCTCAGCCTAACCTACCTCACAAGGTCGTTGAGAGGATAAAATGAAGAGGATTGCAAGAGGAAAGAAGATGGGATACAACTGTAATGTAATATTTACACTCTTCATCGTCATGCTCAATGGAGGTAGCAGAGCGCAGTCCAAGCTAGAGGGACTCACAGCGGCCATTGAGAACGTGCCCGCCGGGGATGGTCTTGGCCTTGGACGTGCCGTAGATGTAACTGCAGAACTGGGCTGCTTGTTCCACAAAGTCGGGGTCCAGCTCGCTCTCCTTCATCTCCCCCAGCCGAGGCAGGTTCTTCCTGGAGGTGGGGCGCTCAAAGATGAAGCATTTCCGGGTGGGGAAGAACATCCGGAGGCATTTGCGTGGCAGGTTGAATAGCTTGATGTCCTGGCTGTCTCCTGGAGGGAACAAGATATGGAGGGGTCACTTGCAGGTGAATCTGGAAGGGCAGCTGCCAGTGCAAAGACACCAGCCAGCCCTACAAAAGGAAGAAACCCTACAAAAAAGAGACGGGTTCAGACAAGGTCGTCGTTTCGTATCTCAATGGAGGTGGCCTCCTTGCACACTATGTAGACCCATCTAATCTTCATGCTTACCGTATACTGGTAAGAGTATAAGCATACATATACCAGAAACATACTGACACATCCCTTCCATTTTACTTTCTTTCCCTCCCTCCTGCCTCTTGTCTGGGTCAGTCACTTCAAGAACGGACAGTTGGCCGGAAGCTGGTCACATGCATTCATTCACAAACCAAGCCTTCTCCATGCTGCCTAATCACCCAGCACTTAACATCAGGGTCCATATTCCTGAAACGCAACTGGCTTTGCTAGAGATCTACCTTTCAAAGGGAAGATGGGCTAGAGGTGAACACCCCTGCCCAAAGCAAGCCCAAGAGGAAGAGGCCAACAGAAGTTCATCTGCAGATGTCCCAGGCAGCTGGTTTCTGATGCTAAAACTGGTCTTAGTAAAACTGCTTGCTGGTAGGTTGGTGTATTTTTGCTACTTCATGGAGGCAGGAATTCAACTCATGGTCTATTTTTATAGCAGTGAAATGTTAACCACCTCGAGCACCATTTTTGGTAGAAAAGCTAGTACCAGTCAAATAAATAAACAATCCAATCAAAGTTTTTACTCTGTATTATTGTCTGCAGCCACCTTAGGCCAGGCTGAATAAGAGAGCACGGATGTGTCACATAACTGAGTCAGAGTACAATCCTATGAAATGGTTTGAGAGGGACATGTAAGATTTCTTGAAGCTGGGATTACAGACAGCAAGCCCCTGCTTTACCTCCCTTGCAGGAAGAACTATACCGACTCTGCAGGGCTGCAAATTGACCTCAAAGAGGAGGAAAATGTTTGTGTTGGGGCTGGTGGCCTATGCCACTTCCAAGCAGGGCTGCAGCTTCCCTCCTCCCCCTCTCACCTTTGTCTAGGTAGCCAGAAATGACCATATCAATGAAATGCCAACAGTGCTGTTGCTACACTTTGCATTATGCTCCGGATGCAGGTAAACCCTCGAGTTTAGGGGCTTCTGCGTAGGAAGGGTGGAAGACATTGGCCTGCATCCAAAGGCTGCCCCCTGCAGTTCTGTGCTAGCCACCGCCAGCACCAAGGGAGAAGAGCAAGGAAAGGAAGCCGCAAGGGCATACTGCTCTCTCCTGCGCATCAGTCATCGGCACCTTTCTTTAATTTCAAGGCGTTTTCCAGATATTCATCTTCAGTGATGGGGTGTCCATCCAGCTCGAGCAGCAGCGTGAAATCCCTCAAGGCCCAGATGAAGTTCGGGAAGAAGCAAACAAATTCAGCCGAGTCGTCCAGTTGTTCCTTGTTCACCATGGAAGGGGCTTTTGCTTGGATGAGCTCAGTCAGCTCCGCCACGTAGCTTGTCGGCCTGGTTCAGGAAGAACAGCTGTCCCGACCTGGAACTTGGTCCCCTGTCTATGGAGCCCCGCAGTTTCTGTGGGATGGGCCTTTTTGCCCCTCCGCCTGAAGCGTTCTGAAGAGGGAGGGCAGGGGAAACAACAGGCAGCTCCTATCCTGTCCTCTTCAGTGACTTCCTCCCTCTCCATGGGAACAACCCCTCCTTTCTCAGCCTTTCCAAGGCTGTTCTTCCAACCTTGGAGGGCAGGCAGCAGCATTCCTTCCACACCAGCTGTGAGGAGATGGTGGCAGCTCCAGGCACAGACTGGCTCTCAAGTTCAGTGCTACTGCAAGGCCAAAGCCACTGCATGAGGACACGTGTGGTCTAGTGGTTAGAGAGATGGACTGGGAACGGGGAGATCCAAATTCTAGTCCCCACGCAGCCAAGAATGTCACTGTCACCCACTCTCAGCCTAACCTACCTCGCAGGGTTGTTGTGAGGATAAACTGGAGAGGAGAACACCTTGTAAGCCACCTGGCGTTCCTTGCAAGAGGAAGGAAGGTGAGGCATATGTGGAACAGAAGCAGCTGAGGCAGAAACCGTTTACTCCTCTCCTACACATGTGTAGTGGATTCAGTCTAGATTGGGGCCCTGCAGGCTCCCTTTTGGGTCAAGCCACTAAGCGAGGACTCCTGCACTCGTTCCAGGCGAGCCGTTGCTTGGTCTGACCCACAGCGGTGGTTCCCTCCCCTGGAGAGCACGTTATTCTGAAGGATACTGGAGCTGGTTCATGGCATTCTGGTCAATGGTGCCGATGCTGTTGTAGACCAGGGTGCTGCTCAGGAGCAGGGTCAGCGCAAAGATCCAGGTGTCATTCTGGGGGTTGCCCTACGGAAAGAAAAAGATGTCCTGGGGCTTCAAACGGAAACCTCCCTCCCTTTCAGGAAAGCTTCGGACTCCACCTTCGGGGAGCCCTTGCTGCTTGAGGACTAGGGGTTGGGAGGGCGGGAGACCTTGCCATCGGTCTCCTGGCTTCTCCTGAGTCAAGGAGCACTTCCTGCATCAGCTCCCCCACCCACCCACCCTGAAAAACCTCCCTCCCTTTCCGAGGTGGGCCGTTTCTCACACTCCACCTGAGCAAATTCAGCAGGTAGCCATGAAACTGCCAAAGTGCCTGCCCACCTGCCGCTCCTCCTCCTCCACAGAATCAGATGAATTCATCTGAGCAGGCCGAGAACAACCCCCCTCTCTGCAAAACTGTAAGCTCCACCTCCCCGTTTGCATGCCCTGGGCAGCTAACGAGCTGCGAGAAGAAGAGGACGACGCAGAAGTGGTGAAAAGACGGAAGAAGGCAGACGTCAGTCCGTGTTTGTCGAAGCAGCCGCAGGGCTGGCAAGTGATGGAGTCGATAAGGCAGCTCCGCCAGGAGAAACACCCAAACAGCCTTATCAAGGTCTGCTGGAATCACACATTCAGTGCCAGACACATGCGCTTGCTGATTCCACAGCGACATTATCTGTCTGGACCGGCACCTATTTGGCACCTTCCACAAATGTTGGACTAGAGAACAGAGAGGCGCTATGTTGGCTGGGGGTGATGGGAGCTGCAGTACAGCACCTCTGGAAGGCTTATGGCGACAAAGTCATTGTGGCCATTGCCAAGCCAGAGGGGCGCTTGTGGGTGCCACCCTTTTTTTCTAGCAGGGCTCCTGCCAACAGGTGAAGCATCCTTCCCCCACATCCAAAAGTTCGAGCTCACCTTTTCCACATCGCCGAGCCCCTCCGTATCCAGAAGGACGAGGGTCTGGCCGGGCTGCTTGGGGTGGGGAATGCACCACATCCAGATGCCCTTGGTGCTGGCTTGCACCGTGGAGCCCAGCAGAAAACCTGCATGTGCCGAGAACCATGTGTTACATGTCCGTACACGGATGAGCCAGAAACGACCCTGTAGCAGGAGCTGTGCTTGCCCCTGTTTGGAAAGTGCCATCTCCTTTTTTATTTATTTGGAGTTTTTGTATGCCATCCCATTCGCATAAGCCTCGTGACGGCTTCCACACAATAAATAAACATAAAAATAGTATACATAAAATCTAGAATCACCCTGGCTGTAGAATTAAAACCAATAAATAATATTACCAGTTGTTAAAATATTGTTTAAATAAAAAGGTCTTGGCCTGGCGCCGAAAAACAAATAACGACGGTGCCAGCAGACCTCTCTGGGGAGCGCATTCCACAGCTTGGTTTCCCCCAAGGTAAATGTGGTGATAGAGAAAGCTGCACTTAAGGAAGATCATGATCAGGGGACAAGAAGCCCTGCAAGGAAAAAGGGGCACTGCTTTGGAGGGGCTGTTCTAATTTTCCTGAGATTAAAAATAGCCTGATGAGGATCGAATTTTACACATGTGCACACGAGTCAAAATCTGCTCATTAAAGCTCGAAGCATTTGCAGATGGCATGGTTGCAGTTCTGAGAACTAGGTCCAAAGCATTGCCCAGAACACATTCACTGCCTTGAGAGAGGTCACTTTCTGCCTTGAAAAGGGATAGAAGCCTCCATCACAATGACCACACCCAAATATGCCAGTTTGGACAGAAAACCTTTGCTTTCAGAATTCATCTTCTCCCCTCCAACCCCAGATATTCCAGCTCTTCCTTTTTCTCTTGGTCCACTCCATCTCTCTCTCTCTCTCTCTCTCACCTGAGGTCTTGCCAGCCAGCTTGTTCATGAGGTAGGACTTGCCCGTGCGGTACAGTCCCACAATGGCCACCACCACCACCGGCTGGTGGATTTCAGAGAGCAGCTGCAGGGCCTCTTGACAAACACGGAACTCCTTTCCCCTGTTCTCGATCAGGCACATGGGAGCCGACATGCAGACTTTGGAGGCCATCGCCCACAGGCTGAAAGAACAATAGTTGAGGTGAGGAGGAAGGAAGACCCCCCCCCCCCAGAACCACACTTGCTGAAATGTTTATTAGAAATGAACAAGATACCTAACAAGAGTTCTCTGGAAATCCTGCAACAGCAGTGAGGGATGTACACGGCAGTCCCACCAAACAAAAAATGCAGCCACATGGAACCTCCAGCTGAGAGAATCAAGAAGAGGCTAAGAATCAGCCTCTTTCTGAATCCAAAGTAGCAACATTCCTCATCATTAATCTGTTCAAACTCTTTGGGCACTGGCTGTCAAACTTCCTACTTTCAGGAAATCCTTTTTACTTGGATGGGTTCCATGTCAAAAAAAAAACCCTGTTTGTGCTAGACCTGGAATTCTGCCTTCACATTTCATGGGTCATCGCAGCTACACCAGTTGGATTGCGCCAGTGCTCCTTCTGAACTGGGAGCACGCCCTAAAACGGAGGCTGGCTCAAGATGTGGGCACCTGCGGACGGACACCCAAAGGGTTGGCGCCCGCCCTTTCCCTTGAACAAGCCCAAGACAGCACACACAATTAAAAATTACATTCTGGAAAACCGTAAACAGCTTGCAGAATTTATCCCTTGCCTCCACCTCTCTTCTCCTTCCCCGGAAGGTCCGCAGGGCACTTCTGCCAAGCACGTGGCAATCCTTCTTCTCTTCTCTTTTCTTTTCTTTTAAAACTTTTCTTTTATAACTTCTTTTATATCTTTTATATTTTCTATTTATTTTATATTATTAATTGTAATTTTATATTGTTATTTTTGTATTGTATTTTATTGTTGTAAGCCGCCCCGAGGCTTCGGCAAGGGGAGGCATAGAAATGTTCTAATAATAATAAAATAATAATCCTGCGCATGGCACATCCTGTCGCTGAAACGATAGCTGGAGTTTTCCCATGGGCTTTCCCTGTAGGGGCCACGATGCATGAAACCTGGCGAGCCATGAAGCTCAGTAGGAAGTTAACAAACTTTCCCATTATTTCAACAGTTAATTATTTTTAATTAATCAATCAATCATTATTTAACAGCTAATTGGTTTTATCCGTTTTTATCATCATTATTGGATGCAGTGGGCTGTATGCTGGTTGTTGTATATGCTTGTTTTATTTTTTGTTCTTTGAAAGCCGTCCAGAGACTTTTAGTATTGGGACGGTATATAAAAACTTTAAATAAATAAATACCGAGTCTGCCCGGGGGGGGGCGCTATTGTGCCACTCCCTCGCGATGCGCAAGTCTCCTTCGCGCCCTTACCAAGAGCTTCTGCGATGCCCTCGAGCTTCTGGTTTGGATCGCGCCTGCGAGGAAACGGGCGCGCAGTCCTGGAGGGGATCTCACCCGCCGCGAGGCGGCCTGCAAGCGTCCGGCACAGCCCCTCGTGCCCGGATTCCTGCGGGGCCGAATGGATCCAGAGCAAGCGGGTCAGCCCGGCACAAAGAGAGGCCTCGAAGCGAAGAGATCCCCGAGCGAATGGGATCCTTGACACCCTTCCTCATCCCCTGCTCCTCCTCCTCCTCCTCCTCCTCATTTCGTGCCGCGAGGAGGAGGAGGAGGAGGAGCGCCGCGCAGCAACGCCCACCCGCAGCCCGACCCCAAGAGACGGGAGGAAACAGCGGCCGGAACAGCGCCTTCCCTGCGTGCTCCTCCGCTGACCGGTCGCCCGATCCTCTTACTATTAAAGTGCTGGGATGGGAAGCCCACCAAGGGTTGCTGGGAGCGCTTCCCCCTACACGCACCAGTCAGGATTATATTTCGCCTCCCCCCCTCCCCCCCCCCCCCCCCACACCACCTCCTTTCCGAGAACTGTCCACTTCTGGGAAGCCAGTTTCACTTTCGACAAATTTCCACGTGCCCCATCGCTCGCTTCGCTCTGCTCAGTGGGAAGTCCAGTCTGGGTTTTCCGCTAGAGCAGACATGCAGCTTCCTTTCCTTTCCTTTCCTTTCCTTTCCTTTCCTTTCCTTTCCTTTCCTTTCCTTTCCTTTCCTTTCCTTTCCTTTCCTTCTTCTTTTTCCAGGTCTGAGGCTGGATATGGAGCTGAGTGGCTTGGTTGTCCTCCATCAAATCCAGCCAGGTCGGTGCACAGGCTCAGGTGTGCTGAAAAGTTTTGCTTTCGTTCTTCTTTGGGAGAGAACGAGCTGAAGGGCAACAAGCTGGGAAGGAATTCTCTGGGGAAGTGGCGACTGCAACACTGAAAACATCTTTAGTAAGACATCAAGGAGTGAAGGTAACAGATGGTCAGGACGCCTGTTGCAGCTGATTCCAAATGTTTCTTTATTTCTGTGCAGATACCTGCTGCGGGTCCTCAGAAACAACCTCTGTTCCCATCATGGAGAATAAAGGGCTTGAGAAGTGAATGCTAAGACTAAGTCCAGAGTGATTCTTTGTTTTCAGAGTCCTGGAAAAAGTTGCGAAGTCTCTTTCTAAGAGAACAATGAAATGGTAGAAACACACAAACACACTTGAAGATAATGTGGTTTTATCAAAACACTTAAAATTCTCTGGCCTAGCTATGGTTAGTCTTCTAATCTCAGCTATCTCAAGTGAACTGTGCATGTGGCTTCAGGAGCTGGTGTGGTGCAGGGTCACAAGCACCCGCCTGAGGACTCGGGCGATCTGGGTTCAAGCCCCAGCCCACGGGGAGGCTTTGGGCCAGTCACGGACTCTCAGCCCAACCTAATGCGCAGGGAGTGCTTGTGAAGAAAAACTCCCTCTTAGAACATACTGCAAGTATATCTGGAAACCTGTGCAAGGTGAATGTGTGGAAACAGGTGGGTGGCCAGGCAGTCCTCTGCTGGAGGGGCTGCTAGCAGATCCCGCTCTGTCCTGTTTGAAGGGCTACCTGGCCCAAATCCAGTTTAAAGGGCCAGTGGTGGAAGGAGCTGTGCCCACCCAGAGTACCTGGGCACTACACTCACCTACCTCGCCAGCCTTCCACAAATCTGAAGACTGCAACTTTGAATTATCATAATAGCCCCAATATGTACATCCTAACAAATGAATTAGCATATTTGCAAATGATATGCGGATTAATTCTGGGGTGGGGGGACTGCCTTTTCTTTTGAGCGATTCCTAAATGTTCCCTCCCTAACCTAAGAAAAGGGAATCCCCAGGTTCGAGAGATCCAGTGGGAACGGGCGGCTTTGCCGGCTACTATCCGTGACACTGTTTGCTGGGCAGCTTCTCAGCGCGCGTTCAGTGAAGAGCTAGAAGGGAAAGGACGGGGCGTTTCCAACACCCTGCAAAAGAAAACGCGTCCTCCACGAAGTGCTCGCGTTCCCGGCTTGGGTGGAGAGGGATACGCGGCGGAACGGCCCGCATTCAGCCTTCCCCGAAAGAGCTGGTTTCCCGGAACGCCGCCCGCCCGTCC